TTGATATGGGGAGTCTAGTAAACATTATGTTCCTCATGTAATTGTAGATTAATGATACCAAAAAAAAAAAAGAAAAAAATCATATATGTGCACAGAATGATAAATGGGGTAAATGGGGCAAAAGGTTAAGAACCAAATCTGGATAAAGGTTTTATAGGGAAAAAAAAACTACTTTCTTAACATGATAGAACTTAATAACTTTTAAAATTCAAAGACAGTGATTTTCAAACTTTTCAGTATTAGGACATCTTTACATACTTAAGCATTACTGAGGTTCTCCCAAGGAGTTTTTGTATATCAGAATTTACTTATTGATATTTATCACAGTAGAAATTAAAATGAGTTACCATAAGTGAGATTTTTTTTTTATTAAGGTATCATTGATATACTTACGAAGGTTTCACATGAAAACAATGTGGTTACTACATTCACCCATATTATCAAGTCCCCCCCATATCCCAGTGCAGTCACTGTCCATCACTGTAGTAAAATGCCACAGTCATTATATGACATTTTTAATGAAAAATAATTATATTTTCCAAACCTCTCCGTGCCAAAAATTAGTGAGATAAGAGGCGAGTTTTACTTTTTTCAAAATTTCTTTATTGTCTGCCTTATTAGAAGATAACTGGATTCTCCTATCTGCTTCTGCATTCAATCTGTTGCAATATATTGTGGTTGAAGAAAAGCCAGCCTTATGTAAATAATACAGCTGGAGAGAGGAAAAATATTTTGTGAACTTTCAAGCAATTCTTTTCAGGTAACTGTGGATATTCCACTTGGATACAATCTCAAACCTCAGTTCCTAGTTTCTTAAAGGTTATTTGCAGTGTGAAATCTGAAACCATACCAGTGAACTTTGTGAACCCTGTCACATTAAAATCCATCTGCCTGTCTTGCACTTTGAATGGCTCTTTACCCATGAATGTTTCTGTAACATGCATCAGTTATTTGAAAAACATGCCATTCCATCGACAACTAGCATGCAGGAGAAGTGCTTTATGCATACTTCCCACTTTGTCATATAGAATAAAGACAAGTACTGAAGGCTCAAGATTCATCAAGGCCATTAAGAGAAAGTATCTTTTTTTTTTTTAAACTACAGGTGCATAGAATGGCAATGAAGAATGACTAGTATGGTTTGGAGCCACTGACCTGATTCATGCAAAGGCACCCAGAATTTTACCCACCACTGCTTTTCCCTTGCCAGCACACATGTAGACAGAATGAAAAAAGGTAATATTTTAGTAGTAGTATGAAAAAAGTTTCAACCTCATGGACCTCCTGAAAGTGTCTCAGGGACAGCCCCTGACAAGAAGGAGCAGACCACACTTTAAGAACAGCTACCCTGAGAGCATTACTATTAAATCCAGTAGCAAGACAAGAATAACCACAGTCACTCCTACCACAGTTAACTCTTCTGGTCTCTGTAGGTAACACGCAGATTATAAAACAGAAAAAAGAGGCTTGATACCATAAAAAAGAACACAAAATTAACTTGACCAATATTTACTAAGGAACATGAGTTTACCTTCTAGCAGGGATCATAATAAGAAAGAGGTTTATATTGGATGATTAAGTAGAGAAGAAAAATAAATTGAGTAAGGGACTAGGGAGTGGTTAGTGGAAGGTGTGATTTTATATAAAGAGGTCAAGGAAGGCATCTCTGATAATATGACATTAGAAATGAGGCTGAATGAAGATGAGAGGTTAGCTGTCATGTATTCCAAGCAGAGGGATAATAACCAAGTCCGAGATCTGAAGTAGGCTCTGAGAAATGTGGTTAGACAGGCAGCCTGGGACAGGTTACACGAGGCTCCCTAAGGAGAAAGGACTTATATTTTATTTTCAGTAAAATGGGACTCAAAGGGATTTTAAACAGAGGACTAACAATCTGACTGATAACTGTTACTTTTTTTGACAAAGAAAATCCAATGAAAACTATAAAACTAATCACAAAGTCTTAAAATGTGGATGCTTAGGTAATGAACATAAAACATCACTAGCTTTTATATCTTGTAATTAGTTACAAACCAAATGAATTAATTATTTTTTTCTCAAAAGTAAAACATAGAGAAATACTGGATTTAATTTTAACATTATTATTGAAATAACGCCATGGGCAAGATGTGACCTCATGTTAGGGGCAAAATATTCTAAGATAAGTCCCTATAAAGACTCAATTTCTCCAAAGGCCCAATTTAAAAAAATCGTAATACAAAATGACATAATCCATTATAATTGCTGAAAGAATCATACGACTACATTCACAATTCTTTTTGCAATCAACTTTTAAAAAATCACTTTTTAAACAGTATAAATACCTCATCAGAATAGGAAACAAATCTGCTCGGTGGGCTGTTTTCACTACTGAATTATCTTCAGAAATGCTAAAATGCACTATCTCTTCCTTAAAGCTTCTGTCTTCAAGCAATCTTTGTAAGTTTTCCCTTAAAAAATAGATTACAGCACAAATCATGACTAAGTAATTAATGGTACTTTTAAAAAGTGCAATACAGTAGAGTAACATGTGTAATTGAAATAGGTATCGAGCACATCTGTATTGTGACTGACATCTATAAAGGAAAATCTTCACAAAAATACCTTCCAAATGACAAGTTCTCAATTTTAAAAGGTAAAAGAAATTATAAGGAGTTACACTTAGTAATTCAGCTGTTTAAAAGAGTATAATACAAAACCTTTCTTCAGTTCTTGGACTAATTATTGTGATTTCCTAAGTAATCACCAAGATTTTATGACTTTATATAAAAAGAAATGATACAACCTTGTTAACACAAACATTTCAAATAATATTCTCTTTCCTACCTTACTATCTATGGAAAAAAAGCACTCTTTAATATATTTTTCATTTTCATTTCTTACCTAAAAATAGCGTTATGATTACCTTACAAAAGAGGGAAATTTCCCAAACCTTCATAAAAAGTATTTTAGAACTCAGGTAGAAAGATAAAAAAAATCAACCAAAGAAACAGCATTTCTTTGGCTTCAAATAACTTACCTGTAAGGGAGGATATGTGGATGTTTATATGTCATTATGCAATCCAGGGTTATTTTCTGCACCATTTGATCCTGGTGTAGCAACAACTAAGAATGACATTTTACAGAATAAATTAATGAAGTCACATATACACATACTGTGGGACAGTAATTTACTTGTGTTAATTTGCTAAACTAGATTTCTTAGAATCTAAATTTTTAGATAAGGGTTAAAGCTGATTCCTGAAAATAGCCTTACATTTTCCTGGAGGTAAAGGAGGAGGAATAGAATGTGTGCAAAGAACAAAATGGAAGCAAAGCTCTGACACCTGCCTGCCACACACCAGATGGTCAGGCCTATCATTCTTTTGGCCAAGGCCAATCCCCTACATGAATCTGAGGTTTCCACCAACTGGGTTGGTCCTGTAATGAAGAAAAGCTCTCATAATACTGTGAAGGTAAAGGTGGTCAGTGAGATGCCAGGAGAGGGTCTGAGGCCTCTCAATCAGTCAGTTCAGAATTTTACTTTCTGTGGATGACTGAGGGTTAGAATTATGGGCAGAAAAGGATAAATTTTGATGACATGATAAAGTCTCATCTAAAAAGCAAACAACAGAAAAAAAAATTTGCTGCCCCAGATGGCTTAGAATGACATCTAATGCTTAGTTTGCCTCTGACATGAAGTTGTTTCTGCAATCTTTTCTGGATGCAAGGTCATATATTACGACTGCAACAGATAATTAATCCAACTATCAGCTTTCCCTCCATCTAACAGATTATGAAATCCCAGTGCACCATTAGGCTACTTTATCCATAAGTGAAAAGTAATCAGCTTTTCTTAGCATAATCCCCACCGCCTTCTAAAAGGCAATATTTCAAGATATTTATGTATTTCAAGATACAGAAAATATTAATTTAAAAAAACTGTACTTAAAACATAGACATTGACACTATCCAACAATTACTGCAAACCTAAGTTATTCTGGCAAAGAAAATGGTGACGTTCATAAAGAATTGTAGCAGCAAGAATTTATTTTACTTACCTGAAGATATAACTCATACAATTTGGATTCCAGATATAAGGCTCGTGGATTCGAAAACTTTGAGAAAACTTGCAGATGAGCAATCAGCTGCCTAAAAAAATTAAACAAAACAGAGGGAGGGTACTGCAGAATTAAAAAATGAGAAAATTTTCTTAAGATGATAGTACCCACCAATTTTAGTCTGACATGTACTCCAAACATCTTGACTATAGTTCTACATTAATTATACAAGTTTTAATGATTTGCATTTAGGAAATTATTCTCCAGGAATTCCAAATCTTGGGCAGACCCTGCCCTGAAATTCAGGTTCCTCACTCCAGAAAATCATTCAGGATGTGCTTACAATGGTTTAAATGAATCCAAATGAGAAAAAAGTAACCAAAATGGTAATAGTTTCTGATGTTGAACACAGATTATTTTTCAGAATAATTCCTTGTCTAGTTTCTATGTAGCAGACAGGAAAATAGTAAAATATATTCCTCCCTTTCATATAAAATAAATATTGTCAGGTAGCAGAGGTCCAACTTTGGGTAACCATGGCTCCTGCTTATCAAGGAGGAAGAAGAAAGGCAATATTGTGGTAGGAAGTTAAATTTGAAGATGGGACTGCCTTTGAGCAAATTACAGCATCTACTGAAACAAGAGAGCTTCCACTGCATTTACTTACTCAACTTCTTAATCTAAAGACTCAGTAAGATGTATGTATAAGATTAGAATTAAAAAAAAAAACACAGAATGAATAAATTGTTTTAAGTTGGAGAGATTTTATTTGCTATTTCAGGAATGTAAGCAGGGAAAAGTGAAGAAAAGTAGAAAGCACTGCATGTGTGATTCTGACTTCTGAGCTGTAATTCTGGGGAGTTACTGAAAGTTTGAGTTTTAGTTTCCTCATTTGAGAAGACAAGACCTCTCGATTTCTGCAGGGATTAAATGAAAGGACACAAGCTGTGGTGCCACTTCTCCTGTGAGTTTAGTGAACAATGCATTTCTGTGCTCCTGGGCAAAAAAGAGCAAAACCGTTAATGTCCTACTAGTTAATATAGAAAAATGAGCTGGAAATTATGACCTCTTTAGATATGACAGAAAAACAGGGGTAAGGGTATCACTATTGTTTGTATTTAGCTTAAATGCCTGTGACAGTCTTCTGTGTCAAGTACTTCAGTGGCCAACACTCAGTTAAATAACAATGCACTAATCTACGTTATTGTGATGAAAATATTTTGTAGATGCTGACATCTTCAATCAGTAGACTTGAAATAAAGGAGCTTACCCTCAATAATGTGGATGGGCCTCATCCAATCAGGCCTTACGAGCACAAAATTGATTTTTCCAGATAAGAAGAAATTCTGCCATAAGACTGTAACATAGAAATCTAACTCTTATCAGTTTTGGATTCAAGACTACAGCATCAAATCCTGCTTGAGTTTCCAGCCTGCCATCCTGCCCTACAAATTCTGGACTTAGCTTCCAAAATCATGTAAGCCAATCCCAATAGATGGACAGATAGATGACCATATATATATATACATATCTGCACCTCCATCCTATTGGTCTGTTTCTCTGGAGAGCTCTGACTGATATAATGAAAAATTAATTCAGACACTGACCTTATCCTTCAAGAGTTTCTAATTACATGGCAGATCTATACAAAACTAACTAGTATCCAAGGCAAGGAGTAGCATCATGGAAGAGGCCCGAGCAGCTGCTGTGAAAGTTTGAAGTTGGGTAAGATAACTTGCAGTTTAAAAGACAGGAAAAGCTTCAGTGAAGTAGCACAGGAAGGGCGCCTTGAAGGATGGACAGAATTTCAGTGGCAGAAATGAGGCAAGGGCACAGCAGAAAGAAGGAAGGACACAGCAAGGTGCAGGAGTGAGAAAGGAAGGGGCATGACTGGATAAGCAGCTTACTCATTTAATGAACAAATATGAGGACTAATCTTTGCCAGCTTTCTGCTGAACGATATGGAGAAAACAGCAATCCTTGTCTTAGAGAAGTAGTAGGAGAAAGAATGGTCAGACTTGTGAGCAGGGAGAAGCAGAGAAGGAAATGTAGTTTCAGGACACTAGGTCATGATCCTTCTTGTCCCTGTGCTTTCCACACTATTTCGATTAGCTGGCAAGTCCTTCCCTAGCAGCCTGGCAAACTTTCATCTTTCAACTTCAAAGGTGCCCTCTCCTTTGTAAAAGTCATCCCTTGTGGTAGAGTTAGGTCACTTTTTACTGTGCTCATGTAACTCCTTTAAAAATACTCCTCCTATAAAAAAAAGTTCATCAGGCATTAGACTGTGCTTCCTACACTGCAGAGGTTATGAACCATTCATCTTTGTAGCTCAGCACTTAGCAAAAGCCCAGCACTCAATACAGCTGCTGAAAGGATGAACTAACAGACGGCCCACAGCAAAGACTCAACAAATGGGCATATCAGATTGAGATCAAACGTGTTAAAAATGACACAGTAGCACCATTCCCTGGATCTTGGACATGCCAATTCAGACAATCTTCAAGTACGCTGGAGTAACTTCTGAAAGCATGATTACTTCTTTTCTAAGGTGTCTAAGAATTTAAGTAAATGAATAACCCAGAGAATAAGAAAGACAATGTAACAAGAATGAAAAAAAAAATTAACCAGAGGGGGACAGGTCAAAAGGCAAAGTATAAGTGCTGATGCATTTATTTATAAGAGAAAAGGTGTTCCCCTAGCTCACAAACAGAATACCCTGGTGCTATAAAAGTGACCAATAAAGGTGAAAGAGCATTTAAACACTCTAGGCCAACGCTCTTATCCATAAAGAGGACCTATGACCACCTTAAAAGTCCCCCAAACTCTAACATTCAGTGGCTCAAGAGGAAAAAAATAAATAATAATAAATAAGCAACCAAAATCTCAGAAGACTGGTAGTTTCCTTTGGGCTATAAAAGACAACCCCAGGAAGATGCAGCACGGTGTAAGTAATCATCTGAGCAGTTTAACTTGACAAGTCTATTTCACACTTCGGCAATCAGAGATCTCTTCCCGTTTCTCCCAGAACCACGGATCTGTGATCCATCAGCATGGTGAACTTACTTTGCTGCAGCTCTTCTTGTCTTTTTCTTCTGTGAGGGCTCACCTTGGGGCACCACCTCTTCCTCCAATGCCTCGTCATCTCCAGCAACAGGTTCCTCCTCTATCTCCTCTGCTGCCACTGCTTTGCCTTTTATTCGCAAATCCTGTGTTGGAGCAACTTGCAGATCTGCTGGGTAATACTCATTGCTACAGTGGAAAGAGCGATACAAGACAGATGAGACTGAAATGTCCTAAATCTGTGTATGATAAATGTATTCCCTGGTTCACAGAATCACACACTGAGGAGATGTCAGAGGAAACTAGTCAGGCCTCTTTTACATTATTCTTGCTTATTCAGTTCCTCCTAAGTACTCTATTTGACAAGTCAGTCACTAACCACAGAAGACAGCCCATTCCACTGTTGCACTGTTGAAAATATTTGAAATGTCTATTTTGAACTGAGCTGAAATCAGCTTCCCCTCTCTGGGGGAGGCAGGTGTAGGGGTGGATTATATTACAATAACTAAATTATAGCATTAAGACCATGCTGGTCACTTTCCACCAGACACATGCTACTTTGCCCACGTCCTGTTAGAAATACATTACTGTAACACTCGAAGTTCTGTCCTCTGGGAATATGGTCTGTTAAGACAGATGAAACTGTAGACTCCACTGCTTTAGGGGACAGTCACAGCATGACACAGACTCAAACTGAATGTCCAGGCAGTGAAAATCAGTTAAGTCTTTATGATTTGCCTCCTCTAAACTAGGTTTGTGCAACTGGCATTCACATTTGTTTTTAAGAAATTCCAGCCCTTAATATTGGTCCAGTGTTGGAAATAACTAATATTATCTTGAAGGCTGTCCTTCAGTGAATTAGTTTTGTGTCACTTTAATTCATTCATCCAATGGTTGCCTTCTGTTTTGTGCATGGCACTGGGCTATAGGCATAAAGATATTGATGAGACAGATTTTAAAGTCTATACTCAAAACACATTGATAAAATAACATGTTTAAGGACAACATCCTACCAACACACTTGGAAGAAACTCCATGTTAGCAGACTAAACTACAACTGGAGAGCTGGGCCACTATCTTATTCAACTTTGTTTTGTCACCTAGCAGGATTTAATACTTAATAAAAAATACATGAATGAATGAAATGAAGTTGCTGTTACAAACTGTACCATCATCCACTTAATAACATCCACTATGCTCTCAACACTCAATTAACCACAAATGACATATTTTTAAACTTTGTCTACATGCACAGCATGTTCACTCATTTATTAAATAAGATAATTCACACAAAGCACTTATGAGAGTGTCTGGCATACAGCAAGCACTCATTAAATGTCACCTATTATTGGGATATTGTTGTCATTGTTAGTCATTCATTCCTGCTTCTGGTTTGGTTCTTCTCATTTGCAAGAGAGTCACAGATTAGTTCCAATACCAAATTGTTTACAACATATTTAGAAATATCAATTTCTAGCTAAAAAATATAAAAAGCCATCATATATTTCAAAGTCAGAATTGAAGGTGATATTTAGATTTTCCATTAGTTTGGGTCATCTATAAAAGTATTTGTTATAGGTAATCATTGACAACGACTCTTAAACATCTTTAGTCTCTAAGTCTTCCTAAACTCAGAGACTCAGTCCAGTTACAGGCTCCTCTCTTCGTCCCCACTCCACAGCACCTTATATTGTTAGAGGAAGGTCTTCATCCTCAGGCTGGGTGGTAATCTATTTCTTACTTTAGGGAAAAATCTGGAAAATTAACATGGCAGGGAATTCATATCCTACTAACACCATTAATACTAGCTGGCATATATACACAGCCCTTTGCAATTCATGAAACAACTGATAAACATTACCTCATATGATCTTCAAAATAAGGCAAGGAAGCTAAATATCACTGTTTTCATTCTATAAATAAAGTCCAAACTATTATGTGCAAATCATTACTCTTCCACCACCATACCTACTGACCTGCCTGCTTCTTTGCTTATAACCTTTGCCAGAATGAATTATCCATGTAAACCTTCTTTATTTATGCACTGGATCCAGGCTCCTCTTACCTATTGAAAGACATGGCTCTAGCAATTGTATCCCATCTCTGCATCACAGGTTTTCCCTCCCTTCTGGATCCTTCACACCAGAATCCTATTTCTACAAGCTATTAAATGTTAAATACCAAGAACAGCTCCCTCTCTGCTCCTCATCTCTCTCCACCGGTGTCTTTGCCACAAGAACTGCCCATACTTGCTGTTTCCATTTGCTCTTAAGCTCATTAAAATCAGGCTTTCATGCCTACATGGTTAACCAAAACAACTCTTGTAAAGGTCTTCTCCAAAGCCAACTGTCAATTCTTAAGCATTATCTGACTGGCACCTCAGATACCTTTGATTCAGTTGATGACTCCCTCCTTGAAATACTTTCTTCACTTGGCTTCTGGGATGTTAAGTGGTATTAGCTCTCCTATCACTCTTTCCTGGCTTCCTTACCTCTCAACCTCTAAATATTGGTATTGATCCTTACAAGTGTTCTCTCTATATTCACACCATATGGGTGAATGTGGCTTCATTCCCTGTCTTGTAATTTTAAAAACTATCCATACACCCATGATTCTCAAATATACTATTTTAGACCAAAGCTTCCCCTTAAACTTTAAACTTCAAATTCAATGACCTGACACCTCTACTTAGATACCTAATCAGTATGCCAAACTTAACATATCTAAAAATGAATTCTTGATCTTCCCCATGGACTGCAAATTGAGACTGTTCCTCCCAATCTCAGCAGTTGGTGACTCTCCCTTCCAGCTGCTCAGGTCAGAATCCTAGAGAGCCTCCATTCCTCTCTCCTCCTTCCTGCGTACCATCCCTGCCAACACTCGTGCAGTACTACATCTGATCTGTTGGCTCATCAAATCCTGCAGGGTGAGCTAGTTGCAATCCTTTAAAAATATATCTTACTGAACTGAAATTCTTCCAAGAATATTCAGAATCCAGGTATCACCTCTCATCGTTTGTACTACAACAACCTTGGTCAAGTCACCATCATTTCTTGCCTGGACTTTCACAACTTTAACTGGTCTCTCTGCTCTGACCACTGCCATCCTACAGTCTATTCTCAGCACTGCAGCCGGGAAGATGCTTAAGAAAATTTAAGGCATGTCACGCTGTGTTTAAACTTACTAATGGCTTCCCATTCACTGATAGAAAAAACACAAAATCCTTACTATCATTTAAAGGTCCTACATAATTTGGTCTCTTGTTAACTTTTCTCCCTGATCCCCAACTACTTTTTCCCAGGATCTCTCTGCTGCAACCACTCAGAATTCCTTGCTGTTCCTCGAACAGGACTGGCATGATGTGGTTCATAGCCCACTTAACCAAAACCTACAGCATTTTCCAATGTGATGAAATATTACCAGAAAACATCCTTCTCTAATCAGTACTCTTCTCTACATCCCATTCCTTCTCTTTAGAGTTTTAAAGCAATCTAGCTCTCACACAGCCTCTCTAGTTAAAACAAAACAATGCTCTAGAAAGTTTTTGCTCTTCTTTGAAAGTACATTCCCTCAGCATTATAAGAAACATCAAGAGGCTCAAAACAGAGAGGCTGGGGTTGGGTTACTGGAGAATACTTGCAAGGACCAGGCAGGCAATAAGACAACGAACAACACAGCAAGAAATAACAAGGCCTTTGTATGTTGATCTAACTTAATATGGTTTCTTATTTTGTAACCTGAGGAATTTTTTTTTATTAACACCATTTGTGGGCTGGCTAAATTTGATTTGTTCAAAATTAAATGGTGAACAAAACCAGCTTTTATCTGATAGAGCCAGTGCTTTATAGATATGTTAATGGTTTGAAAACATGATAGTTGTATGAAGAATTCAGTTTCGGAGCTAACCCTTTGTACCTTCTCTCCCTCACACCCTATCAGGGATATTCCTAAGAAACAACACTTACTTGATAAATCTCAAGAAAAGCGGGGAAAGCTCCCTGGACCGTGGCTCTACCCTCTCTGGGAATTTTGCCAGAGCTTGCCAGAGCAAAAATCGAAAGTTGGTATGGTCCAGTCTTTCCTGACAGTCAGTTTTCAATGCTAACTGCTTAAGATAAAGAGTTCCAACATCTCCTTCCTGAGTCTGCTGCCAACTTTCATCTCCAATGGACTTCTCATCTCTTACATCATTTTGCAGCTCTCTCTCTGCAAGAAAAAAAAGTCAGAACCATCTGAGAAATGCTGACCCAAAGTCATCAAAGATTACGCATTTCTCATTTGTTTCCCAATTTCATATGTAATTAAGTAGTAAAAAAAATTAGTCACACAATCACTTTTCTTCCCAGTTCCCTCTTCCTTCCCCATACATACCAGCATGTGTAGCTGCTTTTTCTAGATGCTCATAGTAGACTTTCCAAAATTGCTTATTTTCCATTTCATGTGCATGAGAACTAAGAGAAAACATCACAAAACAAAATACATAGCATGGGCCTTCAATCTCATAGAAAACAACAACAAAAAGAATGAAAGGTTATAACTAAAACATTAATTGTTGTCCCTGAATGAAGGGTTGTGGACAACTTCTATAGTTTCCTGTATTTTTCAAAATGCCTACAACTGAGCACAAATTATTTTCATAGTCATAAGGCACTAAAGAATATTTTTAGAAACCTCAGCAGATCCCTATAAGGAGCTCTGGAGCGGAAAACTCAGCTTGTTCAAAGCTAAGTTTAAAATGTTGGGTTTTCCTCCACCAAATTCAAATGTATTTATCATTAACACAAAGGTAAAATAAATTTTCATTAGCTACATGAAACACACCTTTCAGAACTTAAATTAGACGAATCATGTGATATAATTTGATATCTTAGCAACAATATTCTCAAAATGCTTTATCTTCCTGTCATTAATTTTCTAAGAATATGCTTTTTCTTCTGTCCCTAGTACTTTAACGGTCACCACTAGGCCTGTGCCTGGTTAGGTGGGCTACAGAGAGGGGGTTAGAATTCACCAGTTTCTAGGTGGCAGCACGAGAAGGCCTTGGCCTAGGGTCACGGACTGTGGGGTCTGAGGGGCAGGTGGCCTTTCCCGGTTCTGCATGCAGCATCCAAGCAGCGTCACTCGGGGAGACCAAGAGTTTTTTCTTTCATTTGGAGACTGGGTATCATCTTCAGCTAGTAATACCATAGCCCAACATCCTTTTTGTTGCTCCAGAGAGTGTGTCTGCCCATACTTGCTGTTTCCATTTGCTCTTAAGCTCATTAAAATCAGGCTTTCATGCCTACATGGTTAACCAAAACAACTCTTGTAAAGGTCTTCTCCAAAGCCAACTGTCAATTCTTAAGCATTATCTGACTGGCACCTCAGATACCTTTGATTCAGTTGATGACTCCCTCCTTGAAATACTTTCTTCACTTGGCTTCTGGGATGTTAAGTGGTATTAGCTCTCCTATCACTCTTTCCTGGCTTCCTTACCTCTCAACCTCTAAATATTGGTATTGATCCTTACAAGTGTTCTCTCTATATTCACACCATATGGGTGAATGTGGCTTCATTCCCTGTCTTGTAATTTTAAAAACTATCCATACACCCATGATTCTCAAATATACTATTTTAGACCAAAGCTTCCCCTTAAACTTTAAACTTCAAATTCAATGACCTGACACCTCTACTTAGATACCTAATCAGTATGCCAAACTTAACATATCTAAAAATGAATTCTTGATCTTCCCCATGGACTGCAAATTGAGACTGTTCCTCCCAATCTCAGCAGTTGGTGACTCTCCCTTCCAGCTGCTCAGGTCAGAATCCTAGAGAGCCTCCATTCCTCTTTCCTCCTTCCTGCGTACCATCCCTGCCAACACTCGTGCAGTACTACATCTGATCTGTTGGCTCATCAAATCCTGCAGGGTGAGCTAGTTGCAATCCTTTAAAAATATATCTTACTGAACTGAAATTCTTCCAAGAATATTCAGAATCCAGGTATCACCTCTCATCGTTTGTACTACAACAACCTTGGTCAAGTCACCATCATTTCTTGCCTGGACTTTCACAACTTTAACTGGTCTCTCTGCTCTGACCACTGCCATCCTACAGTCTATTCTCAGCACTGCAGCCGGGAAGATGCTTAAGAAAATTTAAGGCATGTCACGCTGTGTTTAAACTTACTAATGGCTTCCCATTCACTGATAGAAAAAACACAAAATCCTTACTATCATTTAAAGGTCCTACATAATTTGGTCTCTTGTTAACTTTTCTCCCTGATCCCCAACTACTTTTTCCCAGGATCTCTCTGCTGCAACCACTCAGAATTCCTTGCTGTTCCTCGAACAGGACTGGCATGATGTGGTTCATAGCCCACTTAACCAAAACCTACAGCATTTTCCATGTGATGAAATATTACCAGAAAACATCCTTCTCTAATCAGTACTCTTCTCTACATCCCATTCCTTCTCTTTAGAGTTTTAAAGCAATCTGGCTCTCACACAGCCTCTCTAGTTAAAACAAAACAATGCTCTAGAAAGTTTTTGCTCTTCTTTGAAAGTACATTCCCTCAGCATTATAAGAAACATCAAGAGGCTCAAAACAGAGAGGCTGGGGTTGGGTTACTGGAGAATACTTGCAAGGACCAGGCAGGCAATAAGACAACGAACAACACAGCAAGAAATAACAAGGCCTTTGTATGTTGATCTAACTTAATATGGTTTCTTATTTTGCAACCTGAGGAATTTTTTTTTATTAACACCATTTGTGGGCTGGCTAAATTTGATTTGTTCAAAATTAAATGGTGAACAAAACCAGCTGTTATCTGATAGAGCCAGTGCTTTACAGATATGTTAATGGTTTGAAAACATGATAGTTGTATGAAGAATTCAGTTTCGGAGCTAACCCTTTGTACCTTCTCTCCCTCACACCCTATCAGGGATATTCCTAAGAAACAACACTTACTTGATAAATCTCAAGAAAAGCGGGGAAAGCTCCCTGGACCGTGGCTCTACCCTCTCTGGGAATTTTGCCAGAGCTTGCCAGAGCAAAAATCGAAAGTTGGTATGGTCCAGTCTTTCCTGACAGTCAGTTTTCAATGCTAACTGCTTAAGATAAAGAGTTCCAACATCTCCTTCCTGAGTCTGCTGCCAACTTTCATCTCCAATGGACTTCTCATCTCTTACATCATTTTGCAGCTCTCTCTCTGCAAGAAAAAAAAGTCAGAACCATCTGAGAAATGCTGACCCAAAGTCATCAAAGATTACGCATTTCTCATTTGTTTCCCAATTTCATATGTAATTAAGTAGTAAAAAAAATTAGTCACACAATCACTTTTCTTCCCAGTTCCCTCTTCCTTCCCCATACATACCAGCATGTGTAGCTGCTTTTTCTAGATGCTCATAGTAGACTTTCCAAAATTGCTTATTTTCCATTTCATGTGCATGAGAACTAAGAGAAAACATCACAAAACAAAATACATAGCATGGGCCTTCAATCTCATAGAAAACAACAACAAAAAGAATGAAAGGTTATAACTAAAACATTAATTGTTGTCCCTGAATGAAGGGTTGTGGACAACTTCTATAGTTTCCTGTATTTTTCAAAATGCCTACAACTGAGCACAAATTATTTTCATAGTCATAAGGCACTAAAGAATATTTTTAGAAACCTCAGCAGATCCCTATAAGGAGCTCTGGAGCGGAAAACTCAGCTTGTTCAAAGCTAAGTTTAAAATGTTGGGTTTTCCTCCACCAAATTCAAATGTATTTATCATTAACACAAAGGTAAAATAAATTTTCATTAGCTACATGAAACACACCTTTCAGAACTTAAATTAGACGAATCATGTGATATAATTTGATATCTTAGCAACAATATTCTCAAAATGCTTTATCTTCCTGTCATTAATTTTCTAAGAATATGCTTTTTCTTCTGTCCCTAGTACTTTAACGGTCACCACTAGGCCTGTGCCTGGTTAGGTGGGCTACAGAGAGGGGGTTAGAATTCACCAGTTTCTAGGTGGCAGCACGAGAAGGCCTTGGCCTAGGGTCACGGACTGTGGGGTCTGAGGGGCAGGTGGCCTTTCCCGGTTCTGCATGCAGCATCCAAGCAGCGTCACTCGGGGAGACCAAGAGTTTTTTCTTTCATTTGGAGACTGGGTATCATCTTCAGCTAGTAATACCATAGCCCAACATCCTTTTTGTTGCTCCAGAGAGTGTGATTATTTAGTATGTGTGAGTATGGGTGTGTATGTTGCTCCTGAACGGAAGGGGCCAGCACACACCCAAGCAGGTCTTGGCCAATAGCTCTGCTGAGTGCCAGCCGGGAAAGGGGAGGGTCGTAGCTACACAAAGGGTGGACTCCTGCCCCCTTTCCTCCTGTACCACCTTTCATGCATTCTGAGGGCAAGGCTCCTCGGAGGCCTGTGCCTGCTCAGATTAAAGGATTTCACAGCAAAGATCAGTCTCCAATCCCTAGTCCTTGGTGCCTCCACCAGTACTCTGTGCAAAGCAGACTGCTAGGCAAAGGCAGACAGCCTTTACACAGACATGAACTCTGTGTTTGTCGAATACATGTGAAAAATAAACCATATTTCAGACAGTATGTACCCAGTAGGAAGAGAGCCCAGCCAGCTATGGAGAACATTAAAGGCATCCAATAATTAAAGAGCCATTTTTGAGAGTGGGTTATTGGAAATGCACCTATCATCAGGTTCTCCCTTAACCACAATCAGCAAAATTATGAAGCTGACGTTAGAATGCCTTGGTTTCACACACTGGTTTGAAGGCATTGAAGGGCAGGAAAACGCAGACAAACTGGTTCCAAATTTGAGAGGGATTTGTCTGTTCTGCTTCTGTGGAACACGAAGCAATAGTTAGGGTTTTGAGAGGCCACACGTGATATATTTCCGGTCTGACAGAAAGTCAGAGCAGACTGCAAAAGGACACCTGCAAAAGGACAAATTTCTACTTAGAAGGCACAACATATGTATTTTCTATGTGATTATTAAGGTCCTTTTTAAATGTAAAGGGATTTTGGATATTAGATAGCCAGGATTTTAACAAGTCCTTATTTTTAAAGTTTGGCTCAATGACTCAACATATATAAATAAAATGGTGTAATTATTCTATAATACCTTGTTATCGTAAAAAAATTTCAGTAATACAGATATATAAAGTATAAAGTTTTCCAGTTTGTCAATGTACAAAATACCATACACAAAACGTGAACTGTTGAAAAGCCTGGCATCAGAGACAATAATTAATGTTTATTTTTTTTCTTTCACCTTATCCCACAAAGGATTCAAAGTGGCATAAATACTGTATACACCCATTTATTTAAATCACTCCTAGAAGGGAGAATAATACTGGCCCCATCATTCTTCAGTACTTAAAATGTAACAGCTTCATCAACTTAACCCTGCTTACCTTATGAGTTCAATAACAGGATCCCAGAGGGCACTGAAGTTAACATACAACATGCCTAATAAATAACGAAGTGGCACCTGCAATTATAGGAGACTAGTTTAGGTAGTGGGTAATGAACGACCCCAGAACAGCACAGAAATGCAAAAATCCCAATTTGAATAACCCGAGGTTGGAAAGAAGCTTGCGCTTTAAGAAAAAAGTTGCAGGTACCAATCCAAAACTCAGTGTCTAGTAATTTTTCAACTCTCCCCAAAATGTCACTTCCTGTGTAACAGAAGAACCACTAAAGCAAACATAGTATTCAAACTCACTCCAGATGTGCGCAAAGGATACACTATTTGAATAAACAGATTTAACTCATGATTAAATTACCTCTTAACAAACATTGCATTACTATCACCTTGTAAGACAAAATTTGAACAGTCGTCAATAAAGCAGATTCCAAAGAACCTAAAACAGCACAAGATGTGTGGCAGCTGAGACTTCACAAACAGATGCTTGAGTTCCCAAAACTATACATTAAAGGATTTCTGTTCAGAGGGTCTAGTTTTCTCAGTTGCCTTGTGGAATGACAGTCATTACGGTTAGTATTCCCATGTGGTGGGGAGGTATTATATATAATGGCAGTTATTATTTGGGGATGGGGTGTTTGTAACTATTGTAGCAGCAGAGGCCCTTTTTCCAAATGAAACGTAATACAGGGCACTGATATATAAAATAGGCGAAGAGCAGAACTGCTTTCACTGAAAGGCAAATGCCTCCACTTGGCTTTCCTCCCACAGGGATGTATCTTCAAGGGTCACAGACAGAAAATCCCTGATGCAAAAGGTAAGGCTGGCATTTATAGTAGTGAAAAAATATGGAGAAGAAATTATTAGGCTTTTAACCTGGCATTGAGTCCTCTTGTTGCTACTTACTATCTACCATCACAGACGACACACAGATTCAGGAGAGGGGAGATGGGAAATTATTTCTTCTGCTGAGAAGCCTGGCAGAGCCATTTAACTCTAAGCATCTAAGAGAACTGGGGATTACCTACTTCTAAAATTCTTTCTTTATGTGACTGTTGGTATGTCGCTCTTTTCAAAAGCCAGCTAAACAGACCGTAAAGTCTAAATTAAGTTGAATAAAGTTTAAAAAAAAAAAAGTATGCTGTTTTCTACCTCCTGTAATGGCCCACCAGGGAGTAGAGTCTGCACCACATCGTGTCTTAGTTTTTGCAAATGAAGAAGCTTCTCTCTGTAATCACTCACAGTTGCTGGTACAAGTTCTGCTTGGCGTAATATAGCAAAGGCCGACTGACGCTCTGAGAGCCCGTCATCCTGATCGACCAGAGAAAATCAAGGAGGCAGGTCAATATTTTGATTTTCTCAGAAGAACCTTAAATGTGACTGAAGGTCAAAAAAAGAAAAACTAGACCATGGTTAGGTTTTAAATTCAATAAGCAACACTTTTTTTTTTTTTGGTAAATGACTCATCTTTCCTCACAACCATTTTCTTTTCAGTAGAAAATTTAGGTTTAATGTCTAGCATAGAAATGACACACAAAAAACAGGAAATTAGTTCTCAAAATGACTCAAGTTGATTGGCAACATTTGTTGAAATAAGAATGTGTATATATGTTTTCACTATACAATTCTACTTCTACTAGAAGTAATTTCTACCTCTAGAAGACTAATTTGCTTTGTGGAACTACTTTCCTACCCAAAGATACCACTGTAAGACATTTACTGCAGTATTACTGGAAATGCTAAAAAACTACAAACAGCCCAGGCAAGTATCCATCAATAGAAAATTGGTTAAATATGATTATTTCAAACTATGATATACCATTCAAACTTCAAGAGAAATAAGGTGGAATTAGAGGTAGTGATATAGAAAATCCCCACAACACCACCTGTTTAAATTATGTATGTGTATACAAAGTATCTGAAAGAATATTCACCAATCACCTTTGGATTTTCAGTGGTGGCCCTGTTGGTGGGCAGGAGTAAGAATTACAAAAAATATTTCTATTTGTATGACAGATATTTGACAATAGTGTTTGAATTTTCTGCAAAAGTGTCATTTTGGAAATGAAAAAACATCAGAAGTTATGTTTTCAAATGTTATCCAAATCAAATAGTTAAAATACCTCCATCAGTTCTGGAAGTTGAACCTCAAAATGGTTTAGGATCCTTATTGTCAAAAGGCGAATCTAGATAAAGTAAAAGACATATTTCGAATTCCAAAGGTTAAACATAAGAAACTGATTAAAAGTCAGTGAGACCTAGGTTATAGAATTAAGAAAAACATACCTCTGTCAGAGTGATATATGTTTATTTTATCCCTTATTTCATATTCAACACCTTATTCAAATGGTACAGGGAATAATAAATGACCAAACTAGTCTGAGAAAGTTACCCATAGAACCATGTTGTTTCTTTCAGACTGTCACACTGTAAGCAAAGAAATTGTAAGTTAAGTGCAAAGAATCAGACTTAAGTTTACAATTTCATTAAATTTGTGGTTTTTATCCTTACAGGGCTTTAAAGAGCTATGCAGATTTTTCAGTTCCACCTAAAAGAATTGTGAGGTGTGGAGATCCAGCATTTTTATTTTGATAATTAAGGTCCCCAATTAATCCTGCTACAATCAGTTCATAGTTCAGTGTTCAGGAATCACTGCTTTAAACAGCAATCACCCCACAACGGCGTTTTCTGATTATGAAGCTCGGACAACCACTGACAATACATGTAGAATCAAAAGATGAGAGTGAGAATGCACCACAAAGCAGTATTACCTTGGCTATCCCAGTGGAAATGTTTGCTTGCAGCTTGGGAAATAACTCCATTAAAGCTTCCTCAGAAAGTGGCCCTTTGCAGCCACACAAGGAGAGTCTCTGATAATAGAGATCAGCTAACAGCAGCACAGAGGGCTCCCAGGGAAACGTTCTGCAACAAGAGGCTTATTAGGGCCAGCCTGCACCATACATCCCAGAGTATTAGACCAAAACAGAACCGACAGAACACTGTCACTGATGCAGGAAACATAAAAGGGCACAGGTAAACATTTTCTGTGGACAGGCACTATCATTTCAGAGCCAAAGAAACCAAGGCCTCACAACCGTGAGTGACGCTGTAGATATGCAGCTACGTGGAGGCAGAGGTGGGATTAGAATATGCTATTTTGACTAAAATCCAATGCTGTCTTTTCAACCCACATAGTTGTAAGTGACAATGACATAAAGTGGATATATAATATTTACTAAGTATTTTTCATGTGCCAGGCACTGAGCTAATGAGGGGAACAGCACAGAGGAGGGATCTAGCATAGGCTTTAGGGCAGGGCAGCCCAGGGTTGAAGTCAGCCCCATCGTTCATCAACGGTGTAACCCCGGGCCAGTGCTTCGCTTCTGTGTGCCATCCTCCTTCAACAAATATTTACTGAGTGTCTACTATGTGCCAGTGACTTTTCTAGATGATGGATAGAGCAGTAAACAAAAGACAAAGTGTCTTTCTTCTTGGAGTTTATATTCTAATAGTGGAAGGCAGTCAATAAATAAAGAAACTAACAAATAATAAGTATGACGGGTGAGCGTGGTGGAGAAAAGTCAGTCAAGGAAAGGCTAGACTGACAGACAGCTGCGGGTGAGTGGAGGGGCGTGGGGAGAGCTGTTTGACGGGGGAGGTCACGGGAGGCAGAGACTCAAGGAAGACAGTTCTGTTCTAGGCGGAGGAACAGTGATGCCAAGTGGCAGACAGGTGTGTTTATCTGTTTGAGAAGCATCAAGGAGACCAGTCTAGCTGGAACTGAGTTAATGAGGAAGATGGGGATGAATCAGAAGTAGCCAGGGATTAGATCTTATGGCGAACCCTGAGGAACATGACACAGACTTCAGATTTTACACTGAGTGATATGGACACCACTGGAGAAAGTTTCTAAACAGTGACCCTACTGACATTTTGGGCCAGACAGCTCTTCACTGTGCGTGATTAGCGTGTACTGTGGCCTCCACCACTAGATTCTAGTGGCAGCTCTAATTGGGACAACCGAAAAAGGTCTCTAGAATTGCTACTGGCTGAGAATCACTTTTGGCAAAAGAATGACATTATCTGTCTTTCATGTCAAATAATCATCCTTGTTGCTGGGTACAAAACATGGCAGCAGGGCAAGGAAAGAAACAAGGAAACTCATTAGGAGCCTAATTCAATAATCTGGGTTAAGAGATGGTGGCTTAGACCAGGGTGGCAGCGGGTGCTGAGTAGTTGGATTCTGAGTTTATTTTAGCACGTTCGTTCTCCATCTGTAATGATAATAGAACCTACACTTCATGGAGTTGTGGTTGTGAGGATTAAATTAAATAAGGTACGTAAAGTGCTTACTACAGTGAGTGACTGGCACGTAGGATACTCTAAGTGCAATTCATATGTCACTATTACTGGATGCACTGTCTAATGCCCGCAGGGAAAGTACTGCTATTCTGTTTGTGAGATAATGAAGTTGAGGTTAACTAATTCATCCAAGACTCTGGTGCTAGTAAGTGCTAGAGACAAGATTCAAATTCAGGTTGTGCTGGCTGTGAAATCTATGCACTCAGCCAGGAAGCAGCAATGCACTGAGCAAAGAGACCTGCAGCTACAAATGTCACAGCTACAAGCCTACGTCTCTACCCTCAAAGCCAAATCCACTCCAGCAAGATGCTTGTGGGCCTTCAAGGCTAAGAGCCATCTGGCTGCGAGGCCACCTGGCCTTCTGCAAGGGAATACTAATCTTGGTCTGTGTTATGTGTGCACCTTTCTGTTTCAGAACCTCTACAGATGCCTTAAATTGCTTCTACCAAAGAATATAGTGTGAGAAGTTTGAACAGCTTGAAGAAAAAAAGGTAGTATGTACTAAGTTCCATAGGGTGATGTGGAGAACTGCCAGCTTCACCCAGCTTTGTTAGTGTAAAGAGAGTCTGGTTACTGCAGTAAGTCTCCTAACTGGTCTCCTCTTTACGCCTTTGGCCTTTTCTCAACACAGCAGCCAAAGTGATCCCGGTTAGGCCTCAGTTGCTCCCCTGCCAAGTATCTTCCTGGGACTTCCTCCCTTTTCACTCAGAGTAAAAGTTAAGACCCTACAACGGCCACATACTGTCTGCCACCGCCACCTCTATGTCCTCTTCTCCTGTACCCATTCCCAGTGGCTCCTCACTGCTCATGACAGGCACTTGACCCTAGCCCCAGCGTTGGCAGGCACATCTCCCAATTGGAAACAGAGCGCCTCAGGTCCCAGACGTCCTCATGGCTTCCTCCCTCGCTGCTTCCAGGGTCATGTTCAGATGTCTCCCTCTTGGTGAGGTTATCCCTATTTAAAACTGTTATAGTCCCCAATCTCCAGACTCGCCCTATCCTCTGATTCTGCTTTCATTCTTCTTTCCACTGTCTAACATGCTATATATTTTACTGATTTATTTTGTTTAGTGTCTTTGTTAGAATGTTAGCACCATAAAGGCAGGGAATTTTATCTACTTCATTCACTGAGTATGTCTCCCAGTGCCTAGAACAGGGCCTGGTATATGAGAAAAGCAAATGAATATTGAAAGAAATAAATGAAGAAATCTGTTTTAGAAAGCATGGGAATAAAACGGGGACTAGATTCCAGAAAAAGAAGTCAACTACTTTATCATATGTTCAAAAGGCCTGACTTTTAGAGGGGGTGAGAGGCTGAGGAGTGAAGGGCTCCCCAGTAATGGCCCTGTGCTACAACCAAAATCAGGAGCTGGCTAACAAGAACTTAAAAAAACAAAATAACTGGATTGTTTGGTATTAAGTTAAAGGACCACAGAAATGTTTTCTGAAATGCTTGTCATGTCAAGCTGAGACAAAACAATAAAGGAGTAGGAATGTGTATGTTGGAACGACTCAAGTTACAAAAGGTCAACACTGTGCAATGTTATGGTTGGGAGTGATCAGCATTATACATCCTTTATACTCCACTGCACTAGTTTACACACATAGTAAAATGCCCCTTTGTAAAGATGAATCTGTAAATCTTTAAACAGATTATGTCCAAAAATGTACTTATTTTAATTGGAGGATTTAAATTAGTAATAAATTTCCTGTGTGACTACAACTCAGGTATATAATGGATTAAACAAGGACTTCTATTATGTCTAAGATTTCACAAAAACAGAAGCATTTATATTTTATTCGTTGTTAAACTGAATGGGAGATATGTTTACTCACAACACCAAATTCTTCACACGTTTCACAGGAACCAAGTGGAGAAGTTCAGAAGAGTCTTCCAAATTTAGCAGAGTATTTACAGCTTGACAAAGAACAAATAAGTTTCCTAAGGGCAGAAAAACAGGAGAAACCACATTACTTACTCCGTGACACAATAACTATTAGACATTTCATTTATTTAACATTTGCTATTTATAGGAAGTTCTTAAAGTAAATTTGTGCCTTCTAAAGACTTGTGTCAAATGTCAGAGTATAACAGAAAAGAAAGGAAAAGTGAAGATTCCAAGTCTTATATTTTAACTTTTTTAAGAGAAAAATAATATTCAAAAGTAGATAATAAAAATGTATGTTCCACTAACTAGGCAGTTCAACGGTTCTACCCACTGGCATTACCAAAATGTTAAAATATTAGAATTTTTCAGTAATTTTATGATATTAGAACTTTTGAGGAGTAGACTTGGACTTTTTAAAAGCTAATTATTTTTGCATAAAAGTCATGTTGACTTTATGTCTCCAATTTATAAGTAACATATCCAATGGGTACTACCCACAATTCAATCAATTACTATTAGTTAGACATTTAATTAGTCCTGGTCCACAGGTTGGCAAACTATGGCCCACAAGCCAGATCTTGTGTGTTTTTTATATGACTGACAAGCTAAGAATGTTTACATTTTTTAAAGGGTTATTTCAAACAACAAACAAAAAACAATATGCCACAAAGACTGAATAAGGCCCCCAAAACCTAAAGTATTTACTATCTAGTCCTTCACATAAAAATTTTGCCAACCCTTGCTCTAAACTCAAGAACAATGCTGTCCAACAGAATCTTCTGCAACGACAGAAGATGTACTAATATGCAGCTATAATCCAGTATGGCAGCCACTAGCCACATGTGGCCACTGAGCACTTGAAATGTGGTAAGTCAACTTTATTCTCTAATATGTCTGCTTAGTATACAACACAGAACCTAGCACATTAATATTTAAATGAATGAATGGCTACTATACATATGTATTAGAAAAAAATGCTGTACTAGAATAAAACAAAAAAAACTACTTTTAAATTGCTATTTTCAGGCTAGTACAGGGAGACATACAAGTCTGCAATAGGAAATGGTGTTTTGGGCAGAGCAGCCTAATTCTGCCAGGAAGAATGATGAAGGCCTGCCTAGAGGTATATGGTGTGTGCTTGAACTGAGTTTTGAAAGATAAGTGAGAGCTCATCGATGACAGGCCTAGAAAGGACTCCAGGCAGACGGAACACATGTGCAAGGGCACAATGGGAATGGCTGCAGCGTCAGGTGTATACCTGGTGTAGAGTGCTGTGGCAGACATGGAACAAGACCCAAGCTGGGGCTTTAAAATGAGGGATCTTATATACCATGACATCCTTTGGTACTTCACCTTCAGGTTCACCTTCTGTTCAAGCTGTCCTGACGTGGTCACCACATTATGAGGTTATGTGCAACACCTCCATCATGTATCCTCTTTTTTCTGTACTTATCATATCGAGGGTTATGCCAGAACACAATGTTAGCATTATTCTGTGTGTTTATAGTTGCTTAGGGTGTGCCAGAAAAGAAAGAGAAGAGAACAAATGGATGATTAAAACTGACCTTTTCGAAAGCTTCCTCTGTCAACAGTCATGAAGAGTGACTCTATAAAGCATGTGATTAGTGGTATCACCTTTTCTTTCTCAAGAGGTCTGTCCAAGAGGTACAGAGAAAAAGGGAAAACTGGCATTCAATGGCTTTTTCACGGAAGAGCAAGGAATGGCTAATAAGCATTTTAATCAGCATGCTAAGTATTCTCTTTCAAAATTAACCATAGTTTATTTTCTCACCTAATATGAGGTAACACAATAAGGGCTGCCCAAGAATGTGAAAGGTAAGTAGTATCATTATTTGGGGATGACTGAATTATAGACAAAAGGTGGTCCAGCACTGGGATCTGTTCCTTCCTTCCCCTGGATCTAGTCTTCTTCTGCCTTATGTAGGATCTGAAGGAAGAGAAGATAAATAAGTGGTTAAAATAAGAGCGAATGTAATCATTCTTGCCTCTGAAATGTGAAATAAAATTGGTTCGTTTCCATGTGTGGAGCATTTGCGGGAAGAAGGGAACTGGTGGTGGTGGTTGAATATACATTACTAACCAAATGTGAGTCATTTACTGATTTTCAGGGAGAGGATTTTCAACCCCATTGGTTCTACTGTGTCCTATTTTCTATTTTAATTTGCTTCATAAGTTAAAGGAAGTGTCTTCTAGTTCTAGGCATTACTTCTGAATTTTGTGCTGAAGGACATTTTCAAGAACTGGGGAGGTAATTTATTGGAATGGGCTCACTTCCTCCATCTGCCTCCTTTCCTTTTTGACATGAATATTACTATTTCACAAATGCAGAATGATGTTGCGAAGTTCTGGTGAATTTGACAAATGTCACTAAATGATTATGATTTAGAAGTAACTTGCTCTGCTTCTTTAATCTGATAATTGGTATTAAGTTAAAGGACCACAGAAATGTTTTCTGAAATGCTTGTCATGTCAAGCTGAGACAAAACAATAAAGGAGTAGGAATGTGTATGTTGGAACGACTCAAGTTACAAAAGGTCAACACTGTGCAATGTTATGGTTGGGAGTGATCAGCATTATACATCCTTTATACTCCACTGCACTAGTTTACACACATAGTAAAATGCCCCTTTGTAAAGATGAATCTGTAAATCTTTAAACAGATTATGTCCAAAAATGTACTTATTTTAATTGGAGGATTTAAATTAGTAATAAATTTCCTGTGTGACTACAACTCAGGTATATAATGGATTAAACAAGGACTTCTATTATGTCTAAGATTTCACAAAAACAGAAGCATTTATATTTTATTCTTTGTTAAACTGAATGGGAGATATGTTTACTCACAACACCAAATTCTTCACACGTTTCACAGGAACCAAGTGGAGAAGTTCAGAAGAGTCTTCCAAATTTAGCAGAGTATTTACAGCTTGACAAAGAACAAATAAGTTTCCTAAGGGCAGAAAAACAGGAGAAACCACATTACTTACTCCGTGACACAATAACTATTAGACATTTCATTTATTTAACATTTGCTATTTATAGGAAGTTCTTAAAGTAAATTTGTGCCTTCTAAAGACTTGTGTCAAATGTCAGAGTATAACAGAAAAGAAAGGAAAAGTGAAGATTCCAAGTCTTATATTTTAACTTTTTTAAGAGAAAAATAATATTCAAAAGTAGATAATAAAAATGTATGTTCCACTAACTAGGCAGTTCAATGGTTCTACCCACTGGCATTACCAAAATGTTAAAATATTAGAATTTTTCAGTAATTTTATGATATTAGAACTTTTGAGGAGTAGACTTGGACTTTTTAAAAGCTAATTATTTTTGCATAAAAGTCATGTTGACTTTATGTCTCCAATTTATAAGTAACATATCCAATGGGTACTACCCACAATTCAATCAATTACTATTAGTTAGACATTTAATTAGTCCTGGTCCACAGGTTGGCAAACTATGGCCCACAAGCCAGATCTTGTGTGTTTTTTATATGACTGACAAGCTAAGAATGTTTACATTTTTTAAAGGGTTATTTCAAACAACAAACAAAAAACAATATGCCACAAAGACTGAATAAGGCCCCCAAAACCTAAAGTATTTACTATCTAGTCCTTCACATAAAAATTTTGCCAACCCTTGCTCTAAACTCAAGAACAATGCTGTCCAACAGAATCTTCTGCAACGACAGAAGATGTACTAATATGCAGCTATAATCCAGTATGGCAGCCACTAGCCACATGTGGCCACTGAGCACTTGAAATGTGGTAAGTCAACTTTATTCTCTAATATGTCTGCTTAGTATACAACACAGAACCTAGCACATTAATATTTAAATGAATGAATGGCTACTATACATATGTATTAGAAAAAAATGCTGTACTAGAATAAAACAAAAAAAACTACTTTTAAATTGCTATTTTCAGGCTAGTACAGGGAGACATACAAGTCTGCAATAGGAAATGGTGTTTTGGGCAGAGCAGCCTAATTCTGCCAGGAAGAATGATGAAGGCCTGCCTAGAGGTATATGGTGTGTGCTTGAACTGAGTTTTGAAAGATAAGTGAGAGCTCATCGATGACAGGCCTAGAAAGGACTCCAGGCAGACGGAACACATGTGCAAGGGCACAATGGGAATGGCTGCAGCGTCAGGTGTATACCTGGTGTAGAGTGCTGTGGCAGACATGGAACAAGACCCAAGCTGGGGCTTTAAAATGAGGGATCTTATATACCATGACATCCTTTGGTACTTCACCTTCAGGTTCACCTTCTGTTCAAGCTGTCCTGACGTGGTCACCACATTATGAGGTTATGTGCAACACCTCCATCATGTATCCTCTTTTTTCTGTACTTATCATATCGAGGGTTATGCCAGAACACAATGTTAGCATTATTCTGTGTGTTTATAGTTGCTTAGGGTGTGCCAGAAAAGAAAGAGAAGAGAACAAATGGATGATTAAAACTGACCTTTTCGAAAGCTTCCTCTGTCAACAGTCATGAAGAGTGACTCTATAAAGCATGTGATTAGCGGTATCACCTTTTCTTTCTCAAGAGGTCTGTCCAAGAGGTACAGAGAAAAAGGGAAAACTGGCATTCAATGGCTTTTTCATGGAAGAGCAAGGAATGGCTAATAAGCATTTTAATCAGCATGCTAAGTATTCTCTTTCAAAATTAACCATAGTTTATTTTCTCACCTAATATGAGGTAACACAATAAGGGCTGCCCAAGAATGTGAAAGGTAAGTAGTATCATTATTTGGGGATGACTGAATTATAGACAAAAGGTGGTCCAGCACTGGGATCTGTTCCTTCCTTCCCCTGGATCTAGTCTTCTTCTGCCTTATGTAGGACCTGAAGGAAGAGAAGATAAATAAGTGGTTAAAATAAGAGCGAATGTAATCATTCTTGCCTCTGAAATCTGAAATAAAATTGGTTCGTTTCCATGTGTGGAGCATTTGTGGGAAGAAGGGAACTGGTGGTGGTGGTTGAATATACATTACTAACCAAATGTGAGTCATTTACTGATTTTCAGGGAGAGGATTTTCAACCCCATTGGTTCTACTGTGTCCTATTTTCTATTTTAATTTGCTTCATAAGTTAAAGGAAGTGTCTTCTAGTTCTAGGCATTACTTCTGAATTTTGTGCTGAAGGACATTTTCAAGAACTGGGGAGATAATTTATTGGAATGGGCTCACTTCCTCCATCTGCCTCCTTTCCTTTTTGACATGAATATTACTACTTCACAAATGCAGAATGATGTTGCGAAGTTCTGGTGAATTTGACAAATGTCACTAAATGATTATGATTTAGAAGTAACTTGCTCTGCTTCTTTAATCTGATAAATGGTTACTCAATGATGCTCTCTGACATGACACTTTGTTTTAGGTTATTTGTTACTTTGGCACTATTCTTATTTGCCTCTTAATTTTTGCCAATGAACTATCTAGCATAGTCGTATTTGAAGACAGAAATTTTACCAAAAGTAAAGTCACAGAAACAGTAAGTAAAATGATTTCTTTTTATGATTTACCTTCCATGTCCAGTTTGGTTAGCTTACCACACAACTGAAGTGGACTATCAGGTGTTTATTTCTGTGCCTTTTTTATCATTAAAGTTAACCAAAAAGTTTCACTCTCTTTGTTTCACACTTACCAAGACATTAAATGTTTGGAAATTATGACTGGTAATTAAGTTAACTTCACTGGCAACTTCTAAAAGTCACCACATCTTGATACAGTCTTTCTAGTAGTAACCATGGCTCAGCAATCTGTAAAAATCTTACAAATAAAATACTGAGATGCTTTAAAACAGTCCCTAGTTGCCATGTCATTTCCCTGCTTCATCACGCCTGCCCATGAGCTCCTGCAATGAACCCCACACTCCTTATCACCCTGTAAGGCTCTCTACGATCTGACCCTTGCCTGCCTCCCGGCAGCTTCCACTCTCTTCCTCGCTTGATGCTCTTCTCTCACACAAGTTTTTTTGGTCCTCGGACACAGGGGGCTTATCCCTGTCCCAGAGCCTTTGTGGTAACTCTCCCCTCTGGCTGGAAAGCCTTTCATCTCCATCTTTGCAAGGCTGGATCATTCCCGTCATAATTGGCACAAAGGTCCCTTCTCTGGGGAGAAGTAGTGCTGCCTCTCCATTCACTCTGCTCTCCCTCTCAATACCTTGGTCTTATTTTTCTCTTTATCACTATCTAAAATTACCTTGTTTATTTTTTTATCTGCCTCATACCCTACTCCCCAAATAAGTCATCTGCCCCAAAGAGGGAGCCTTTTCTTATTCATTATCATGCCCCAATGCCTAGGACAGTGCCTGATATAATAATGTTTGTCAACTGACAATAAATTTATTTTCTAAAGAGTCTTTTCACATCTACTATTTCTTTGTATTCTTACAACAAATCTGTGACACAGATGGAGGGTTTCTAAGGGTATTCAGACAAAGGTGACCATTCACATATATCCTGTCTCCGAAGGGGTGGCAGAGGGATGTTTTCCCAGAGAAAGAAACAAAGAAGCTGCCTTAAACTAACATACCAAATCGATTTATTTATTCTTATCATGTCCAACTCCAAGGAAGAGCTGAGACGGCTGAGCTGGCACTGTGACGAGGTGCGGCCCACAGCCTCAGCGGGGCTCGGCTTTGCCACTCGCATTGCCCAGAACCCAGCTTGGGCCCCAGGAAGGAATGTGCCTGTTGGAAGTCGGCTTGGTGTCACAAAATCAAGCGAAAAGTTCCAAGGGAGTAATTATACAAGAGTTACCATTACCTATTCCTCAGGAACCAGAGCTCAGTAAATTAAAAATCCAGCAAGATTCTGTTGGTATGTTTTGATAGGGGAGCTACTTTTAAGGACGTCAGAAGGTCAGCGTGTGAGGATTCACTTCTCCAGAATCTCCAGCTGATCAGACTGAAAAACTGCTGTGACGAGGGGGACAATGGCACCCACCCCAAAAATACTTGGGACCTACAAATGCTATGATGCTTTAAAAGTCAATACTAGGCACAAACTTAAGAAATGTCCATCTATTCCTACTGCCCCAAAGCAAGCCACAAATGTAGCAATAAGTCTAACAAATCTAACAGAAATAAGAAAATTAAGTTTAAACACATAGGCATGATTCATAACAACTGGTTTCCTAACCTATAATTTCTAGATACAGACCCACTCAACTATTTGAAAAATGATAAGCAGAATCCTCTCACACATTTCTATAAATTTTGCCTTAAACTTCTGAAGAATTATTTTTAAAGAAATTAAGAAAATAATCCATGGCCCTTTTAATAATTCAAACTATGCAAAGGAATATAATCTAAGAGATAACAAACAGTCACTTCTTTCTTCTCCTTACTAGCCTCCTGACATAGATAAAACGAACAGTTCTGTGTGTCTGTATGGAGATGTCAATTCTCTCTATATTTATCTATAGATTTAATGTAATTTCAAACAAAATCCCAGAAAAGGTTTTTTGTGGACATAGACAAGTTTATATAGAATTTATATAGAAAGGCAAAGGACCAGGAATAGCTAAAACAATTTTGAAGAAAAAGAATAAACTACGAGGATTTTTTATTCAAGATTTCAAAACTCAGTGTACAGCTATAATAATAAGACAGTGTGGTATTAAAGGAGGGTTGATACAAAGAACCCTGAAATAGACCAACATACATATGCCCAACTGATTTTTGACAAAGGCGCAAATGCGTTCAAGGAGGAAAAACAGCCTTTCAACCAATGTTACCAGAGCAGGGGACACCACAGGCAGAAAACATGAACCTGACAGCAATCTCACAGTTTATATAAAAATTAACTCAAAGTGGATTATGAATTTAAATGTAAAACACAAAACTCTGAAACTTTAAAAAAATAAGAGAAAATATTTGGGACCTTCAGCTAGGCAAAGAGTTCTTAGACGTAACATCAAAAGCATCACCCATAAGAAAAGTTAATAAATTGGACCTCATTATAAAGTTTAAAACTTTGCTCTGAGGAAAATTTTAAGTGACTAAAAACAGGCTATAAACTGGAAGAAAATATTTGCAAAGCATGTCATGTCTGACAAAAGGCTTGTGTTCAGGATATATAAAACATTTTCAAAACTCAACAGTAATGTAACAAGCAAACCAGTTAGAAAATGGGCCAAGGAAATAAACAGGTATTTCACTAAAGAGGATATAGAGATGGCAAATAAGCATATAAAAAGATTTTCAGTATCGTTAGCTACTCAGAAAATGCACATTGAAACCACAATGAGATGTTACTACATCCTATCATATACCAAAATTTTTTTAAATGCTAATTAGCAAAGGCTAGAGAGGATGCAGAGAAACAGAATTCACTCATACGGGCTGATATCAATAAAAAATGGTACAACCACTCTGGAAAACCACTGTCAGTTTCTCATAAAACTAAAAGTGTAGAATATAACTTAGCAATTCCACTTTTGGGCGTTTTTCTCAGAGAAACAAAGAGTTATGTACAAAAATATTCATAATAACTTTATGCATAATAGTCAAAAACTAGAAGTGACCTACACGTCTTTCAACAAGTGAATGATTAAACAAACTATGCTACATCCGTACCATGGAGTATACAATCCAGCAAAAAGCACATGAAAAGATGCTCAACATAAGAGGAATGGATTACTGATACACACAACTTGGGTCTCAAGGTAATTACGCTGACTGAAAAAAAGCCAATCTCAAAAGGTGTGCTGCTTAATTCCATCTACATAATATCCTAAAATAACAAAATTATAGAAATGGAAAACAGATTCGTGGTTGCTGGGTTAGAAATGGAGTGGGGAGTGTCAGGGTGAGTGTGGCTATTGAAAGGTAGCCCAAGATCCTTGTCGTGATGGAACAGCTCTGTGTCTTCACTCTGGTGGTGGTTCTGAATCTACACATGTGATAAAATTACATAGAATTATATACCTATATACATATACATTCAGAGACAAGTACATGTAAAACTGGTGAAATTTGAATAAGGTCAGTGGATTGTACCAATGTCAACTTTCTGGTTGTGTCATGGCAGTAAACTTTTTTAAGATGTTACTATTAGGGGAAATTGGGTCAAGGGTACACAGAACCTCTCTGTATTACTTCTTAAAACAGCATGTGAATATACAATTATTTTTTAATAAAAGGTTAAAAAAACCTCTTTCATGTACCCAACCACCTGACATTACCAAGTGAACCTGTTTATGTATCCTTCCATGTTCTCCTATAGTTATATACACTTCTAATTTTGCAAAATAGGATCATGTGACATATAATATTGTATAACTTGCTTTTTTCATACAACAATGTATCAAGGAATCTTTCCAGTTAATGTATATACATCTTTTTTTTACATTAGTCTTCATGCATTGTTTTTAAATGAGTAACTCTACTGACACAGAGGGAATAAAGCCTTAGCACTCACCCCAGCGTGTGTTGTGAGAAGACAAGAGGGTACTTCTCTATCGCCATGGAACCAGCAGTGGGAGGTGCTGCTTTGTTCAGAATAAGCTTGGCCAAAATGGCCAAAGCTTCATCTTTGACCATAACATCATTAATTGAGAAGCAATTCTCAATGTACGAGAGAAAGCTGGGTAGGAAGAGCTAAAAATAAGAAAATCATATTTATTAGCAGATATACATTTCAGAATACCCACTAAAGAGGAGATTCTAACACTTCTAGAGAGAAAAAAAAAAAGACCATGAAGGATTAAGAATCATAATGGCATTAGACCTCTCCACAGGAAAAATGGAAGCTAGAAGACAATGGAGCAATGCCTGAAAGACTGAGGGAAAATGACGGAATCTAGAATTCTGTACCTCACCTACTAGCAATACAGTGTGAAGAGAAAGTAAAGATATTTTCAAATGTATTAAATCTTAGAATTTTACTTTATTCAGTCTTTTCTCAAGAGCCTCTGGAAAATGTGTTACATCAAAATAAGACACTAAACCTTAACAAGAGACAGATGTGGGATCCAGGAAATAGGAGAAAAGCAAAAGAAAGCCCTAGAGTGACATTTGTGCAGTGGGCTGAAAAGCAACCCATTTGGGCTTGAACTGCTTCAGGAGGAATGTATCCCAGAAAAGGAAAAAAAAAAATCATGGTGTTAAATAATCCGACATTATGTTACAACATTAATTCTGCCATGTGAAAAGCATTCTACAATGCTGTTGGAGGACAGGACTCACTGACCAGCTATTCAAAGAAAACAATTTCCAGCTTTTAAAGAATGGAGGCAATCAGTAACTTCAGGAAAAAAATGAAAAGGTACACAAAAAAGAAATGTAATTATAAAATGCATTTTACATGAACTCAACCATAGTTGTGATATAACTCAACTGAGAAGATGGGTGATTTAGAAGAACCAGAACCCATCTACCACAGAAGTTTAAATGAGAACTAAAACTAAGGAATCAAGGAAAAGCAGTGTGTTCAGGTAATTAAAAACATAAAGTAAATAACAGAAAAAAATAGCTAAAACATCATAGATGTGGTTGCTCCTGGTGAGGAAAATGTAATTAAAAACATAGAGTAAATAACAGAAAAAAATAGCTAAACATCATAGATGTGGTGAGGAAAATGGTAGTGGAAATGAAGTGACTGTCTTTTAGCCCTACTTACACTGAATACTCTGATTAAAAGTTGGGTTTTTTTAAAAAGACCAAAGGGAACAGAGGAGAAGGAAAAGACCTGGTTGCTAAGAAAACCAGAGCAAGATAAAGGGCCCACACTGGGCAAGGGGGAAGAGGGTTGGGACACATACAAAGGGGGTGTCTTTGAGGCAAATGAGCATATATATTACTAAAGACTAAAGGGAAAAAGGGAGAACAGACACAGAGGCAGGTTTCCACGAGGTATATTATACAGTTACCAGTTATAAGCAGCAGCAAATGCTTGACAGGTGAGTGAGGGAAAAGGGATAACATAAACTAAGGATTTGATAAGAAAAATTTCTACTTCATAATAGCAGGTTATCTATTTTATAGTAATGAAATGAATTTGCAACCTTCCTGCAATGCAAAATGTTTCAGAAACTATTTTCTATGCTTTGAATTCGCATAAAACTTTCTTAACCTCTCTTTTCAATTTTGCCACACGGTCCTCTAACTTCTAAAAGATCATTAAAACACAAGCTGGTTACCTAATCATTTTAAATGCCATAGCATATACAAGAAGGTTTTGTTTGTAGCCTGTCACTGGAATACAACTGCTTTAAGGAGTATGCAGATTAAAATAAAAAAATATTTATTCTGTTCCTGTCCAAAAAAAAAAAAAACCTAACAAACGATAGCATTTTAAACTTGATTATTTATCATGACAGATTCAAAACAAAGCAAAACAAATTTCAAACTAGTGTCTTGCTTACCTGCTCAAACTGCTTCATAGCAAACATGACTTCGGAAAAATCCAAAATTAAACATCTTTCAAATCTGCTCTCAAAAATCTGTGGACCACAGATAAAAATGCTAATTTAAGTATACAGAGATTACTTTCCCCATTCCTCAAAAACAACATCCAAAAACCTTCAAGGTCCTCTTAACTTGCACACAAGAAGTAGCGGGAAGCTTGATACAAGTTAATACAGTCACAGGAGGCAAAAACAACTCGATTGCTGAATTTGCCATCATGCGGGGGGAACACACCTAGGTGCGAGATACAGGCATAGAACCCTCCTCCTTGGAAAAGCAGCTAGAGGAAGGGAATGGTGGGTGCACTTCAACAGTATTCTGCCCAAATGCTCAGCCTTCTCCAGGGGAATGTATACAGATGTGAAGGGTACTGAGCTTCCAGTCATTACACAGGGCTCTGCAAAAGAGCTGCTCAGTTCTTTCCCAGCTAGAGAATTACCAGGGCAAGCAGCACTATATTATACCTTTCTCTTATGTTTTATACTGCTATACTATGTGAAGTAAGGAAGAACTTAACAGGTATTTCTATTTTCGATATGACTTCTCTACAATCCATCTTCTAAACTCACTACAATGCAAATCTCAACAAATCATTACCTTGCTTAAAATATTTCCAGAGCCTTCCATTACCTGTAGGTTAAAACCTAACCTAACTTTTCAAAGCCAAGCAGACCCTTGTTGATGTACATCACACTTCCTTACATATCCATCTGCCTAGATGGCATACTTTTTTTTAAACACATCTTCTCCTGGCATTTCTAACCCATTTTCTGACTGGCAGACTGCTTTATAACCTTCAAGAATTATCCCAAATATACGTCCTTTGAAAAGCATTCCTTATTCCTCACCCCCAAGCAGAGTTGTTATGTTTCAATATGATGCCAATAGATTAGTTCAACAGATTTTAACTACGCATTCCCAGGGCCCCACTTCCTTAGCAATCAAAATCACAGGTATCATTCTGTCCACCCTGCAATACCTAGTCCATATCCAGCACATAGTAAGCTTTCCATGTTTGTTGAGCATTTGCTGAATATTTTTACTTTAGCACACTTTGTTTTATTTCCTTTATAGCATGTAATTAACATCTCCTTAACAAGATTATAAAGTCCCTGAAGACACAGCCTGTGCCATACTTCACTTGTATTCCCCGGGAGGCTTACTCCATGCTAAACATCTTATTAACTGCTGAATTAATTACCTTTTCTATGGTTCAAGTAAATTACCTTTTCTATGGTTTCTTTGATAAGGATCTCTGGCAAGGAAACATTTTCACCTAGGAGCAAAGCAGAAATTACATCCAAGAGGGTCTCCTGGCAAGATGTGGAGAGATTGGCTATTTGTAATGTTTGAGAGAATATCTATAAAGGAAAAGAAAAAACAACACACACTTAGTAATATGCTTTTAATGAGCAGACTCTAAGCAAATTAAATTGGGAACCCACCTTACAAACATCAGTAGGTTTGGTTATCTTAGATCCACTTCCATGTTTCACAAGTATCAAATATGTTTCTAACAATCTCTTTATCTGTTCAGAACTTTCACCACAGTTAACTTTGGTTACTTTTGCATGTAGATCCAGGAGTGACTCCTGAAAATGAAAAATTTAACAGAGGGAATAACTATAAAATATAAACTCATCTCTTAATCCAATAGTGAAAATATTGTGTGAAGCAGTTCAAATTTTCATTCTCTTGCTTTGAAAGATAAAGACACATTTACTGGGAGTCACTAAGTATAACAACTGCTACATTTCTGAGTGCACAGTTGTTAAGTTTTTTATAATTATTTCTTTACAATTCTCACAGCAACCATGAGGTAAGGAATATTACTACCCCACCTCCCAGATGAAAAAACTAGGGAAGACAGATTTAAGTAACTTTCCCAAGTCACACTAGCCAGAAGTGACAAAGCCAAGATTTAAACAGAAGTATTCTGACTCCAAAGCCTGCACTCTTAAAAACTGTGCTCTACTGAATCACATAAGAATAGTCAGGGGGTGGAGGGAGGGAAATGCCTAATGTGTGTGTAAAAGTATAAAGACAACAATTATAAAACACAATTTCCAGGAGAGGTCTGTTAATCTCAAACAAAGAGTAATCAACTCTTGGACTTATTATTATGCACAAATTCTTAAAAATTAGAACTCACTTGCAAACATTCAAAAAATGTACCAAAATGTTCCTTGTAGATGTAGAATGCAGTGGATTTGACCATGCTTTTGAATGCTTCTCCAACTAAAATCCACGGTAGTTGAGTTTCTGTTTCAGTAACTGGTCCTAGCTTTTGCAAAATCAGCTTCACTGCCTGTGGGAACCCAAGAATCATGAAAATGAGCATGTACACTCTTATTTTTAAGTACTGCATATTTCCTACTCTGATTAAGCTATATTAGAATCTGATCTGGAACAATCAAGGATATGGCAGCTTTCCTGGTTAACTAAGGGTCTCAAAAAGATGAAGAATTTTATTAGATAGTTCCCCACTCCCCACCACCCTTGCTCACTAATCAATTTATGGTACCTTCTAGGATCCAAGATGAAGAGAGCAATGATTTTGTAGGTAAAAATACCTAATTAGAGCCTTCATCAGGTGAGCATTATTATTAAAGCCCTTATGTTCCCTATTTAGTGCTTTCTATTTCTCCTAGGCTATTCTCTTTCCACATTCTCTGCATATATCTTATCTATCTTCTTTTAATCCCTTTCACACAGACTCAAAGTATCCTCTTGGTTACTTACCTTCCCTGTACAGGAGTGAAACATATTTCTAACTCCTTTGCACATTTCAAAGAGCAATTGTCCAACTCCTTCTACTTTTTCTGGATGTTCACCAAGATCAAGAAACATTAAATTGAAAAGTGCATTTTTATCAGAAACCTAAAACACAAAATGCAAATGGAAAATTCTAGTTACAACAAAAACATATCCAAATTTAAAATATTTGTTATTTTACAGATTAGTATTTAAATGTAATTAGGACAAAATAATAAAAGGAAGAGACACTTGTAAGGATTTCAAACTACTGTAATAGTATACTATTACTTATGATGTTACATGAAAAATTAATTCAACGGCATTATCAAGAAAAAAGATATAACATTCTCTTTTCTAAAGTAAATCATATATTTTATTAGTACAAAAGAAATTTAAAGAAAGTTTTTTTGTTGTAATCTAAAAACCCTCTAAGATTTACTATGGAAACCAACAAAAGAACACTATGCAATCAGTTCCTTCCAGGAAATTTTAAAAAATTCCTGCCAATCTCACTGCTCATATATCTCAATTGACTTGAATTAGAGGGCACTTTTGATATAAACACCCTGAAAGCTACCTAAGACCTAAATAACAATAGAAGAGCAATCCAAATTATTCCACATTAGTGAGCAAAGAAACCTTACGGTGAGATGATCTCTAAATAGTAAAAGGTTTCTTTTTATATAAAACAGTAGTCCATAATAGCCACATCATAAAAGATATATGCTTCTGTTCATCAGATTCTTGAGGGTGAAAGAGCGATAAACATAAAATATCAGACTAACCTTTCTCATCAAAAAAGTAAAGCTTTCAGCAGCAAAATTTCTTATATGTAGTTTTTTATGAGCCAGGAGTGTACTATACATGCTATATAAAATAAGACGAGAAAATAAGACATGTTTAATTAATCATAATTTTAATAAATATGTACCACATGTTTACTATATGTCCTACACTGTGCTACATATGCAAGGAATACACTAACTATGTAAAATAAGTAGTTTAAATTTTCATTCAATTAGGATGACAGATGACTGAAGGTCATAGACAATAAGAATCCTAGGACTGGTGGTGTTGGCCTTATAGGAAAGACTCCATGAAAAGCTGAAACTTGTAATAAGCCCTGAAGAACAGGAAGAATTCAGGTGGGTACTGGAGTGCATATTACTAGAGATAAAAGTAAAAGCAAAGATGGGGTAGGTAAAGTGACCATGGGCAAGAGACAACAAGGAGGCTGTTCCCTTTAAATGAGGAACGCTGATGTGGTTGGCAGGAGAGCTGCAGATAAACTAAACAGGTGGCTCTGAACACCAGGTAGAGGTGTCTGGACCTCACTTATATTTATGGAGGCACTTACTCTGTTACTCCACCTAATCAGCACAAGTCCACGGGGTAGGTTCTATTGTCCCAAATATAAAAAAAAATGAAATTGAGGAAGAAAGGCCAAGCAAACCTGTCCAAGGTCATATAGCCATGTAGCTATAACTAAATAATTACTTGCATAATCACACTGTCTAAATTGGACTCCCTAAGGACAAGAGAGCTCAGAATGCATCTCTGCTATTTTAGCTGTATCCCTAGTACCTAACAGTTCCTGGTTCACAGCAGGTACTAATCAGAATTGACTATCCAAAATAGGTATTCACAGAAAGATCAATTTGGCAGTAGTGTACAGGATGGAATAAAAAAGGAAATAAGAGGCTGGCAGTCCAACTAGAAAGCTGCTTCTACAAGCATGTGTGAACAAGAGCATGTAAGAGGCTGGGGTAGAGAAAAATGGCAAAGGATAGATCTAAAAGATATTTCGAAAGTCTTTGCAATGGAACCAAAGACCTTACAGTGTCCATAGGACAATATATGATTTGCTACCATGTCTGTGACATCACCTAATCTCTCTGTTTATACATGCTGCTCCACCACCTAAGACCCCTTGCTGTTCTTTGCACACACCAGGCATTCACTCAAGACGTTCTCCCCTTGCTAAACTGTCAACTTGGCAGGAAAAGGGATTTTTATCTGTTTTATTTGTGATTGTACTTCAAGTGCCTTGCACACAGTATTCAGTGAATGCATGAATAACAAACCAAGAGGATTTGTATTCCTTAAAGACAACTGGGTCAAAAATGCCTCTAAGGTACCAAGGAAGGTGATGAGAAGAATAAGAATATCACTATTAGAAACTGGGCAAACAGGGCCTGGCATAGAGTACACGCTTACTGAACACATGAACGAAGGAAAGGGTTGGCTTGAATGAGAATTTGCTGATTCTGGTTTCAGTAATACTGAAATGAAAACATTCATGCTGTTGATGATGTCATACAGCAAATAAATTTAGAACTAGAGAGCCTGACTTAGGATTTATGAAAGTAAGAGCAGAAATCATGAAACCAAGCGAGGCATGCAATAACCCCTGTCATCCGCAATTTTGCTTTCTGTGGTTTCAGTTCTCTGTGGTCAGCTGCAAGCAGAAGGAGTGGATCCTCCTTCTCATGAAGCATCAGAAGGTTTGTAGTAGCCTAACACTCCATCACACTGCCTACGTCACTCACCTTACTTCATCTCCTCATGCAGGCATTTTATCACCTCACATCATTACAAGCAGGGTGAGTATACTACAATATATTTTGAAAAAATACTGATCACTTACACTTAAAAAAAAAGGTATTGTTCTGTTTTATAATTGGTTATTATTGTTATTAATCTCTTATTGTGCCTAACTTATATACTTTATTGTTGGTATGCACCTATAGGAAAAACAGGAAATATAGGATTCTGTACTATCCACGATTTCAAGCATCCCCTGAGGATAAGGGGGGATACTATATGGCCCTCAAGATCATGCCTGTGTTTTAATGAAGAAATCTTGGTTTCTAATACATTTTGACAAAAGTTTTATAGAGAACTAGTGAAGGCTAGAAATATATTCCTTTCTCATTCTTTGTTCAAAGGAAGTAGGGTGAAGGAGGTGGTACAAAAACAAAATCTACAGTCCTATCCCATACTCACACCTATATGGAAGGAGGTGGGTAACCTTACATATTCTTGTGGCAATTAAAGCATACATAAATAATCAGGACACTAAGTGAATAATCCTATCAAGTCCCAGGTTGAAATAGATTATAAATATCTTTCCCTTAGTTTAAATAAAAAGCTATTATATAATCCATTCTTTTTCCCTGTCCACATTTGCTCACAAATACTCAGTGTCTCTTTTGGCTTGAGAAAATGCAGGTATTTAAGACCAGGTTCTTGAAGAGTTTACAGGTTTATAGAAGACACTGTGACATTATGAACTAATTATAATACAAGTTATAAAAAAATTAGTGATACAGAATGCCAGAGGAGTTTAGAGTATAAAACTTTCATTTTATGAATTATTTGTGGAGGTTATAGCATTCAAGCCAGGGTTTGCTGGCAGTGGGTATGATTTCAGTATCTGGAGATAAGAGGTGGTCAGGTCAATGCAGACTTGTGGAAGAGACTATAGAGCATGCTGACTAGAGAACCAACTTTGCGTAACAATTAGACATTGAGTTGGAAAGGTAGTCTGGAGTCAGACAGAGGCCAAAGATAAGACAATTAAAAACAACATTAAGAGTCAGGCAGTTATGTCAGTAGCTATGCATGAAAGGTGTTATGCATGTCTTAACTAAATAAAGGTGGGAGTCAGAAATCCTGGTTGTCAGTATCGATAAAGACTGCCCTTGACCAAAAAATAAAAACTTAACAAAACATAATACCAGGGTATTTTCAGAGGCAATCCTAAATATTCAACGTGTATATATTGCTTTTGTTCTCAGAACTGATGCAGATGGGGAACAGCATTAGTAGTGAAAAGGCATGAGAAATTTTTCATAGACGATGGGAATGTTCTTGAAATGCACTGTGGTGACTTTATACAGCTTTATAAGTTTACTAAACAGCATTTAATTGTAAGTAAAATAAAGAACTATTTAAAAGCAAAAGCAAAAGCAAACAGCCCATATTAGAGAGAAAAGAGAGTCACCTGTATATACTGGACATGTCCTTCACCATCCGTCTCCACAGGTACTTGTAAAGATATGACAATGAGGTGAAAGCCCATTCTAACAGCTCTGTGTCCTTGGTCTCCAGGATGGCGGTGATAGTCAGGAAAAAATCCTGAAAATGTGGATAGAAGTCTGTCTGCAGATCTCGTGCCAACTGTACAACCAAACTGGATTAAAAATAAGTACAAGTAATTGATTCTAATACATGTAGATAAAAAACAAAGACTAAAAATCCTTTTCACAAAACACAGTAGATGACCTGTGATGACAGGATTAATTCTTCCAAACCAAGTCTTCAAAGAGGTTTAAGATTTTTCACATTTTAAGACTTCAGTAAGAAATCAGGGTAGGGAAAGAAGGTGCATTCCATCACAAGTTATGGCCAATCATTCTTAGAGTGTCAAGAAAAGGTGGGGTTCTCTTAAAAGTATAAAAGGAAAGCAAAAAGGTATGTCCCTGAGATTCTGCTTTATGGTAATGCACTAGTACGATGATCTAACAGGTGAGATAAATACTGGTTTCTAAATTACAAACACAAGATCTAAGGCATATGTAGCTGTACAACACAATCTTTCTTAAAATTCAAATTTCTCTTAACATGCTACTTACTCTAAAAGGGGTTGATAGGCGAAACTATTCTTGATTTGCAGGTGAGTCTTCAAACTCAGAACTATCTCATTTTGATGATAGACCAACTGATTGAATGACTGGCATTTGTCAATAACTTCTTTGTAAAATGTCCCTAGATGAGAGAGAGAAAAAGAAAAAGAACAGGTTGTTTTTCAATCACACCATTATTTAGTTGTTTTTAAATATAAAGTGCAAATGATGGGTGAATAAAATAGAAACAAATTAGAAAATACCAAAGTGTTCTGTAAGGTTCAATTCTCTCCATTTCAGCAGACCCTCAAAAAAGTAGGTTTCAACTTCCTGCCAAGAGGAAAGCAGTCCATTAATCAGAGAACTCAAGGAAAAACCATTATCAAGGTAATTAAGAATAATGATATTTTAATGTCTTAAGGCAGTGACGATAGTCAAGAGTTTAAAATCTCCTTTTAGTTTTTTTTTTTATAAGGGCATTAACTAACATTTAAAAATGCAATTAGGTGTACAATCTGGGCAGATGATCAACAAAATAGTATTCTGTTGATTTGGTTGCAGCAAATAATTCTCTGAAACTATCTAAAGTCACAATAGGGAAAATTTTTTTGTTTTTTTACACTTTTAGGCCTATAAAACTGTGCTATTACAGTTCTTTTGTTCTGTTTTTTGGAAATACAGACTGCAACAATGTTATGGAGAAGTAATCTGGCATGTCTATTAAAATTAAAAACAAATATGCTCTTTGACCCAGCAATTCCCTTTTTAGAGATGTTTCTTATAAAACTTGCAAACATACAAGTATAAAGATGTTATTTGGCTTTATTGTACTAGGCAGAAAACATAAAACAGCCTGGATATCCCAATAATAGGAAAATGGTATAATTTATGGTATATACATACTACGGTATATTATGAGGTCATTAAAAAGTTATATACTTATTGAAATAGAACAATATTGATGATATACCGCCAAAGTGATAAAAGCAAGTTACACAGTGAAGTTTATGATAGGAACCAATTTTTTTAAAGACCTCTATAAACGTTTGCACATATTTGTATGAGAGAAAAGCATAGAAATCACATGTACACTAAATTGTTGATAAGTTTCCTTAGTAATAAAAGTCGTGAGGGGTGAGATAATGGGTTTTTCTAAGTTCACCAATATGTTGTTTAGCTTGTTAACACAGTATATATTACTTTGCACTTTGAAAGATAAAACCAATAAATGATCATTCATGTGTATGTGTGTGTATGCACAACGTGTGTATGGAGAGAGTACAAATATACAAGCACACATACAAATAGCATGCCAAATATTCTACAATCTCAGAAAAAGTAAACACTTAAATTGTGGTTTTAACAAATTAAAATGAAAATAAAATAGGCAGAATAGAGAGAAAGAGAATTCTATGGTTTTGTTCTATCTCTTAAGGCAGAAGGCAGATACACCTAACAGTTTAAAACCTAAATGTAGTTCCAACTCTAGCACAGTGACTGGCACATGTCAGCCATTTGTCATAGACTATGTCCCTATCCCACTGCAATGTGACTTGTAGCCCTTACCACAAAGAAATGTAGTCTATTTCCCCACCCTTTGAATCTGGCCTGGTCTTGTGACTTGCTTTGACCAATAATGTACAACAGCAGTCATCCTGCAACTGCCAAATTTTGGCTTTAAGAAGCTTCTGCTTTTGCTCATTTGGAAAGATTTGGCCATCAGCTTAGGCTAGCTTACTGAAGAATAGAGACCATTAGGGCAAGCAAGCCCAGCAAGCACCAGTCAATAGTCAGACATGGGATTACGGACCACCCAGTCCAGGATCCTATCCTAGGCTCTCTTCTCTGTTAATTTAACATTCTACCCTTTAGTCTTTTCATCCTCTCCTGTGGCTAAAACTACAAACCATATAGTGAATAGTAAACCTGTAATTCCACCTCTGAAGTCACTTGTATTCCTCCAGATCCATGTATCTAATGTCTTTTGGACACCATCAGTCAGATGGCTACAGGTTTATCAGGCTCAACAAGCCCCAAACAAAACCAACCTTATGCTCCTCTTCCTATAAATCTATCTTGGTAAGTGACATCCTCAACCACCTATTTGTTGGAGCCAACACCTTAAGTCCATTCCCTTCCTCCCTGCATACCCAGCAGGTCATAAGTCTTATCCATCCTACTTCTTTAGTATCTCTGGAACCCTTCTCTTCTCTCCATCTTGACTGCTATCACAACCGTTTCTTACTTAGATAACTACCAAATTCTTATAACTGGTTGCCTTGACTCTAGTCTTGCTCTTTCCTCCGTATTAAAGCCAGAGAGATCTAAAATTCAAACCTGATCATGTTACTCACTCCCCTGCCTTCCAATCCTAGAATGACATCCATAGCTTCAGGGTACCATCCACACTCAGCTTAACATATGAAGCCCCTTATGATCCTTGGCTCTCTCTTCAGCTGTGTCTCTCAGTAGCTACAGTGTTCCCCACCGTGTTCCCCAGTCCTAGTCACCATCAACACACACAAACACCCTACAGACAATTATAACCGCAATGAAATTGCTTTGCAATTTTTTAAGTGTGACATTCATTATTTAGCCTCTGTTCCTTTATACAGACTTCTCCCTCAGCCTGAAACAGCCTTTTCTATCCTCTTTGCCAGGCTGAATCTTATCCAACAACAAGCCCCAATTTGGGTATCACCTAGTCTACATTACCTTTTCTGACACCCCACCCTACACCTCCAAAGAATTCAGGTTAGTCCCTTCACTATGAGTTTTCCCAAAGCATTAAATGCTTATCTAGATAACATCATTTAACACACTGGAGACAAAGCATTCAAAGGGATCTGACTAAAGACAAGTGAAGAATAATAGTAAGAACTGAGGTTGAATCCCTAAATTAAAGTCATGTTATGTGGGGCCTTAAAGGGCTAGTAGAGAAACATGGACTCGCAGCAAAAAGCAAGATTTTAGGGTAGAGGTGTGACTGAGAGCACAATTAGAACCAGATACAATTATGTAGTTTAGCCCTTTTCCTTTTATGAAGGAGGAAACTAAGCCCCAGAAAAGTGAATTTCTTTAAAATTGTAGCTTCAGGGATACAGATCTGCAGCGGTGTTCAAAATGCACACAGAAAGGGAGAGGCTGGAATCACAGAAGCCACCTGAGTTTCAAGTCAACTGTCTAAAACAGTATCACCCAACAGAACTTTCTGCAAGGACAAATATTCCATTTCTGCACTTGTCCAATGCGGTAGCAATGAGCCACATATGACTACTGGTGACTTGAATTTTTAATTTACTTTAAATCTAATTTGCTATGTATGACTAGCACAGGTCTAATGTATTTCATGTTCATAAAGGAATGGCTTGAAAAACAATTCATTTCTACTAAGAGGACAGAGACTGATAAACCAACCATGAATACTTGAAGACTGGCCATTAAAATATTGTCTTACCTCATCATAGCTTGCAGTTCTATCAATCCGGTGAATAATATCAATATTCACATTCCCTAGTCGTTCAGCAAATGTAAGAAACTGTGGAGGGTAAGGGAGAGTGTATTTAACCTACACCATCATTTAATACTCATCACATCTTGAATACCTTTTGACTACTGTATAATAATCCTGCTATAATTTCCCTTGAAAGTAGAAAGTTTAAAGCTTCAATAAGACTCCTCATTTACTGTCTTTACAAATGGCAATGCTTTACTTACCATTTCAGACCTGTATTTTTCAATCATAAAACATGAACTTGAGTTTTGACACTAAAAGTAGAAATCACTAATGAATCGCAAAATTGTAAAAACAAACTGAAAGACATCATTGTAAACAAGTGCACTGCTACTATACGAAAATAATGAAATACTTCTATGAATATATTTGCATAAGTTTTGTTAATGACATTTCGAATAAAATTTCCATGCTCGATTACGGTGGACTCAGGTGAAAACTGACAATCTACTCGCTAGATCTATCGTTAGGTTTCACACCACGCTGAGGTAGGGCTAAATCATTACATCAGTAGTGTCTTTAAATGTACACAGACCTACGATTGTACAGTGACAAATTCTCAAAGGACAAGCAGAAAAAGTGGTGTCGTAGCTATTAGCTGGAAATCACCTCCCGCCGCACCCTCCTCCCCCTTTCGGTCTTTAAGTATAGAAGGGCAGTGGAGAACAGCTTCTAAGCAATTAGTCTGTAAATAATGAATTTAACTGTGGATCTAAAGGGAATTTCCAGGCAAGCTAGAACCTACAAATAATGTGCGCAATCTGCTGTCCAGACTTCGTTCCCCATCCCATCTTTACTACACCTGGAATCTCCCTCTTTTGCTAGAGCTTCTAGGCCAGTAAACTCAAGCTCGGCCCGTAACACCGAAGCTCTGGGAGTCACTCTCATTGTTGGACCACGGCCGAGGCAGCAAGGACCCATGGTGCCCGGCCCAAGATCTCTCGCTCACCCGGTGCGTGTTCTTGGTCTTGTGGGAAACGGGCTTTGTCTTCATGGCTGCAAAGGGGCAGCGGCCCAAGAGGACCCAGGAGAGCGTCCAAGGTACGCAACCGACGGTAAGGAGGGGAAATATGCACTCCGGGATTCCCAAGTGTTCAGAATCCTTATCACGTGCAGCTTGAGACCCTGGGCGCCGCCATATTGGAGGCGGGGAGCAGCCTGAACGGTCACGTGGGCGGAAGAAGCGGACGGAGCAGGCGCACCGTCCGGGGAGACGGGGAGAGGTGGCGGGCTGCGGAGGCGCGGAGGCGCTGCCAGGGCCGGTATGTGGGCGTGGAGTTTTTACTCTGTGTATTTTTATTGTACGAGAGTACATTGCCTGTCATCACTATCAGCTATTAATCCCTAGCCCTGACTAGGTACCCCACACCAAATACTTATTGAGAGTCTGTTGTGGGCGGTGCACTGTCCTGTGAGCTACACAAGACAGAATAATTAATAATAATGATAATAGTAATAATAATAATAATAATTCTCTCTGAAAAATTTAGTCTGAGGTGTTTACTTTCATAGCCAAGGAGAGATGTTAAGTTGCCAATTGGATACATTCCTGCCAGAGCTCAGTGCGAAGGTCAGGGCTGGAGGTGTGACTTAATTACCTTACCCGCACTTACCCACTGAACGTGTGAAGTAATTAAAGCCATGGAACTGCATGAGGTCATTTAGGGAGAGAGTGAGCAAAAGGAGGATGACGAGAAGAGGACCCAAGTTGATCCTTGGAGTGCCCCACCGTTTCGCAGTGGCAGGAAGCTGACCGGGAGAGGAAGCCGGTGAAGGCGTCCCGGCGTGGAAGCAGAGCCAGTGCCAACGACGCTGAAAGCTGACGATACAGACGCAGCTGCTGGATCTAACGAGGTGATGGTCACTGATGACCTTGACAAGGACAGGCCAATGAGGAGGGAAGGAGGCAAACATATGCTTGGATTGAGGAGGGAATCAGGTGAAGAAGTGAAGCAAACAACACTTTCATATTGTTATTGGTATTTCAGCATCGGCATTTTCTGTCATCATAGAGTTGTAAATATTTTAAATGGTTGTTCTTCACCTTGATGGGTTCCAGATATGGTAAGGGAGTCCAAGAAAGCTGTAGACCTTCTCATGAAAACGTAAATAAGCTCATTCACACTAAAATGTGTGGATGATTTCAGAGAGTTGGAAGTCTACACTTACCAAGGATAAGAGCCTCCACTCTAAGCAATGTTCCCACCCTACTGCTAAGTTTGCCCCCAAATTGTGTCCTTTTCCTTCTTTGTTATTTTTTTTTCAGTAGTGGAGTAAATGGGATAATAAGGAGTAGAGAGAAAAATGGAAATGAAGGACAGTAAAAGAGCTGACACAAGTTACATATTACATTTTTGCTCATTAGATAAGCCTCATTGATAACTCTGGTTGAACAATATCAGTATAACATGGTTAAGAGCTTGGGTGCTGGAACCAGATTGCCTGGGTTTTAGTCCTAGTTCTGCCATTTGTTAGTGGTGTGACCTTGGGGAAGTTACCCTTCTGAGCTTCATGTCCTTATATATAAAATGGGGGTAACAAAAATACCTACTTCATGGAGGGCTGTTGTGCAGACTATAAACTAGCCGATAAAAGGTGCTTAGAATGGTACCAGGTGCCCTAACTGTGCAACCTTTGACAAGTTATTTAACCTTTCTGCGATCCAACTTCCTGATCTATTGAATGGAGATGATGTTAATACCAATCTTTCAAAGTATTGTATTGGCACATAGAGCCTGGAATAAATGTTTGCTGAGTAGATACATAAATGACCATATTTCCTCTATTGTCTGGAAACCTGGTAAGTTCCTTCAGGGCAAAAACCATGTACTTTTTGTTTTTTTTCTCTTTTTTTTACTTGAAGTGTAGTTGATATATTGGTGTCAAGTATACAGCGTAGTGATTTAACAGTTACATATGTTGAAAAGATGCTCCAGATCACTAATCATCAGGGAAATGCAAATCAAAGCCACAATGAGATACCACCTCACACCAGTTAGAATAGCCACTATCCAAGAGACAAGACATAGCAAGTCTTGGCGAGGATGTGGAGAAAAGGGAACCCTCCTGCACTATTGATGGGAATGTAAATTGGTCCAGTGTCTATGGAAAACAATATTGAGGTTCCTCAAAAAATTAAAAATAGAAATACCATTTGATCCAATAATTTCACTTCTAGGGATTTAGCTAAAGAAAACAAAATATCTGATTTGAAAAGATATATGCACCCCTGTGTTTATTGCCCCAGCCAAGATATAGAAGCAACCAAAGTGCCAATCAATAGATGAATGGGTAAAGAAGATATGGTTCACATATACAGTGGGATATTATTCAGCCACAAAAAAGAAAGAAATCCTGCCATTTGCAACAACGTGGATGAATCTAGAGGGAATTATACCAAGTTGAAAAAAGCCAGGCAGAGAAAGACAAATGTAGTTTTTCAACTTTGTATCACCAGTGCATCTCTTGAATCAACAAAACATACAATACTTTATTTAACCCTATTTCTGAGGAAACAGTATACAAAAAAGTTCAAAATGGTTGAGTATAAATTGGTTATTTTAAATTCCTAATCCAAAGCCACACCTTATCAAGTTAGCCCAGGGCCTTGGTGTCATCTTTATCACCATTGGACTAATAAAAAGGAAAACATAAGATTCAAGGTGAAATTCAGAGTTGGGAAGAACTTTGGTTTTCTAATACACCAGTGCCCCTCATAGAGCTGTTAGGAAGGATCAGTGACCTAATAAGTTGGTTTTCAAGGTGTGGTCCCCTACCAGCAGCATCAGCACCCTATGGGAACTGGTTAGAAATGCAAATTGTCAGCCCTCCCCTCACCCCCAAAACCTACTGAATCAGAAACTCTGGAGGTGGGACCCAGGAATCTCTGTTTTCAGAAGCCTTTCAGGTGATTCGGATGCAGTCTCAAGTTTGGGAAGACTGACTGAATGTATGTTAAGGCACTTAGAATATCGTTTGGCACATACGCGTGCTACAGAAAGCATTTACTCATTTATGTAAGTGTTTGCTATTACCATTATTTAATTCTCCTATCCACATCTTTGAGGTACATTGTATTATCCTCGATTTAAATAGGAGGGATCTAAGGCTTGGAGAACTGCTAAGTGGTGAAGGGATATGAATCCAGGTTTTCTAATTTCAAGTACAGTGCTTTTTACCACCCCCATCTTAAGAGTGTGAAGTAGGAGGGACTGATTTAGGGGAATTAATGCTTTGTTGTCGTGGTAGACATTTATAAATTTCCTGACAGTCTGTGTTTTCTCTTCCTCTGGAAACAGCATCCTGATTTTCTTTTGAGGAATCAGTCTTCCTTCATTCTCCATGTCTGAGGTTCACGTTAGGTACAGGAAGGGCCTGTGTCCTAGGCTGTATTTCTTTGGACAAGTAACTGGTTCAGAGATAAGCATGTGTCCCAAGCTGGGCCAAGAGCTCTGCTTTTGCTAGAGGTATAGTGGAAGAGGTGCTTCTTTTTCTTGGATTTGCCAAAAGGGTAGGAGCCTGAAGCTCTTGATGGTATTACTGTCACTTCAAGGAGAAGTTAGCTTGAGAATGATTCTCTGCAAAGGACTGAGAAAGAGAGAGAGGTTGATTAACTAATTTGAGCCACTGGATTCATCCAGTCTTAGACTTTTCAGTTACCTTAGTTCATTAATTCTTCTCTTGTGCTTATGCCAATTTTTTTGGGTTGTGTCACTTGTAATCAAAGCAATGCTTATGCAGCTAATTTAAAATTTTTGTGTTGCTGATAAACAAGGCTGGAAACTCAAGTCTTACTCTGAACACAAATATTTATATGGTAAGAATCAAATAAGTCAAATACAAAATCTTGATAAGAGTCATTGTGATACATTGGAAAGAATATCAGATCAGAGATTGGGAAACCTGGGTTCTAATCCTAGGAGGTTCACTCAACTGTGTGGCTTTGTAAAACTAACCATTTGTCAAAAGAAGTAGTGTATATATACATGGTTTATATGGTGCATTATGTGAAGTCAAAGAACTATTAGAGTTGATCCCAGAACTTCTATATGCACAATGGAAAGTTTTCAATATTAATAGGTGTAGGCAGAAGATGGGACACTTCTCAATTTCTTATATACCATTCTCTTATCTAGGCGGTAGAATACTTTTTTTTAATACTTTAAAAAATTTTTGGTATCATTAATATACAATTACATGAGCAACATTGTGGTTACTAGATTCCCCCATTATCAAGTCCCCACCAAATACCCCTTTACAGTCAATCAGCATAGTAAGATGCTATAGAGTCACTACTTGTCTTCTCTGTGCTACACTGCCTTCCCATGCCCCCTCGCTACATTATATGTGCTAATCGTAATGCCCGTTATTCCCCTTATCCCTCCCTTCTCACCCGTCCTCCCCAGTCCCTTTCCCTTTGGTAACTGTTAGTCCAATCTTAGGTTCTGTGAGTCTGCTGGTGTTTTGTTCTTTCAGTTTTATCTTTGTTCCTATACTCCACAGATGAGTGAAATCATTTGGTACTTGTCTTTCTCTGCCTGGTTTATTTCACTGAGCATAATAGTGGTAGAATACTTTTAAATATACACTTATAAATGAATCCTGAGAGAATGAGAAGACAAGCCACAGACTGGGAAAAATATTTGCAAAACAAAAAAGATTTGTATACAACTATGCAAAGAACACTTAAAACTCAACAGTAATAAAGAAAACTAAATTTAAAAATGGGCAAAAGATCTGAACACACACCTCACCAAAGCAGATATACAGATGGAAAGAATATGAACAGATGCTCAACTTTATATATATCATTAGAAAATTGCAAATGAAAATAACAATGAGATGCCACTACACACCTATTAGAAAGGCTAAACTCTAAAATACTGGCAACACCAAATGCTAGAGAAAATCTGGAGCAACAGGAAATTGCAATTCATTACTGATAGGAAAGCAAAATGGTACAGCCATTTTGGAAGACAGTTTCATTTTTTACAGAGCTAAACATAGGCTTATCCTATGATCCAGCAACCACCCTCTTAGTTTAATGAATTGGAAACATACATCTATGCAAAAACCTGCACTCAGATGCTTAGAGCGACTTTATTCATAATTGCCAAAATCTGGAAACAACTGTCCTAAAAAGAGCTAATGGATATATAAACAATGGTGTGTCCGTATAATAGAATATTTTTCAGCAATAGAAAAAAATGAGCTATTAGGTTATGAAAAAATGTGGAGTAAGTTTAAAATGAATATTGCTAAG